TCATAAAACTATTGTTACACAATGTACTAATACTTTAATGAATGTTTAAAATCATAAAATAAATGTACAAACACAGTATCTAATAGAGTTTTATTTTAATTAATAGAAAATTACTTTTGTGAGGGTCGATGGAGATTTCGAAAAATTATATAGGGGTCGATGATGAAAAAAGTTTTACGACCCCTGCATTAGACGATATATTATATAAATATAGAATATTTATTATATCAAGCATTATACTAGTCTATTATAATAATTATACCAAATTATTAGATGCACTGCAGTTTTTTAATAATTACGTGATTAGCACGAGTTTATATGCGATACTTTTATAATTAAACATGCGTGTAATGGATTTTTATTCGGAAGATTTTTTATATACTTCCTATTTGTATTCATGTTTAACGTATTGCATTACAATGTTGACCCATTGATGCAGGAGCGCAAACAAATGCAAACCGGTTTCATCCGAGTAAAAACAATACAGCTGTATAGAGTATCACCTGATAATTATAATTGTACATAGAGTCTTATAAGTACGTCTAATAATATGACCGGGGACTGTACATTCTATCCTGAAAAATAAAAAGTTGTTGTTACATATGGCTTTATTGGAATATGGCTTTATTAATCTAATGATCGGATCTTCACGTTCTAGAACTCGATCTTAAAGATTCGGTGTCCTCAAATATACTAATTAATTAGTACGGATGATATTTAAAATTACAGTAAAACCTTTTTTTGTGCGGTGGATAGGGACCGCATAAAAGAAATCGCACAAAAAAAAATTCGAAAATTTTATAAATTCTGACATGTAATAAACAATTTTGTACCATATACCACCAAAAACTTTTTTTATGCGGTTGATAGGGACCGCATAAAAAAAGTAGGACTCAGAAAATACATCAATGATTTATGAGACCGCACAAAAACAGGTCTCACTGTACTAATTCAGACACAAAGACGTACTTTTTCTGAATAAACATACTTTTTATTTTTCAGACGCACTCGGATGTCTGACCCCTAAAACATAAGGGGTGGCCACAATCCGGGAAATACGGTCCCCATAGTCTAAATCGATCTAAAGTTTGGATCCCTTAATGTCCGTTTTATCTTTTGCGTATTTCAATATATATCTCGAGAACTTTTTAAGCATGTTAATAAATGTAACACACAAAAATCGTTCATTCAAAGGCATTTCAAAATATAACTATTGGTAATTTTTTTGTAATTTTATTTAAAAAGTTGTAAAGTGTAAAATTTTTTACATCATTTTAACGAAAGCAATATACAAAATTTTAGTGAAAATTTCCCGCAAAGAAGTCGTGCATTAAAAATATTTATTCAGAGATTAATTACGTTTTTGTGTATAATTAGCATATTTGAGGTCACATTTAAAATATGCACGCCCGTTCATTAGAACGAAAGTTATACACAGGCTTACATGTTAAAATGAAATAAAATTTGTGGAATCTTTCTGCATTTGAAAGGGAATTCACGTTACTCACTGAAACGTTTTATAGATTGTCTTTAAATAAACATGGTTTAAGATAATAACGCTTGCGAATTTTAATATATTTTGGTACAGTACAGAACCCGTTATCCGGAAATCAGAAAACCGGAAAACCAAAAAACCGGAACGAAATTCGATAAATTTTCCCGCCATTTTTTAAAAAAAAAAATTTTTTTTCCTCATAAGATTTTAGGATTTTTCTTTCTTTTTTGAAAGATGTTTACCCTACCATCATTTTAGAAATAATCATTACTGCATTACTTCATCGTTTTTTCTTCTCTTTAAGATTATTTCCAAATATTTTTTTTAGTTGGGTTTAACAATAAAAAAAACGGCTTTTTGTAGCGATTCAGAAAACCGGAAATATCAGTTATCCGGAATATCGATTGTCCCGATCATTCCGGATAATCGGTTCCCTACTGTACTATCCCATACAAGGTATACTATCCTATATTACAGTCCCTGATCAAATCATTTGACGCACTATAACATTCTAGGCAAAAATTTTATTATAAATTATAATAATTAGGCGAAATTAATAGACGCACTGCAGTGTTTTTATAATGACATGTTTTACACGAGTTTCTATGCAATACTTTTATATTTAAACATACATGTCCTGGATTTTTATTCATTTATAGACTTCCCATTTGTATTTATTTTTAAAGTATTGCATTACGATGTTAACCCACTGATACACGATAACGTAAGCAAGTGCAAACAGTTGCGTGTAAACAGTGAAGCTGTATAGTGTATCACGTGATAACTAAGATTTTACAGGACTGTATATTATTCAGCTAAATATTCAGTCAGATACCTTTAAGGATTATTAATGAGATTAAATTGAAGTTGTTTTTGAATCCTTTGCACTGGATCAGTCCACTAGTAAAGGGAAGCTCGTTTTATATTTAATTCGTGTAGTTAGTAAGTATGTATTTAGCAGTTATTAACTTACAAAAGTTTTTCAATTGTGACGAAGAAAAAGTGATTTCATAGCTTATCCACCCAACTTATTTTATGATAGATTTAACTTTGTGCATCAAAAGTTTTATATCTTAATAATTTGTAACCATTATTATTTTATGAACTTTAAATATCATATGATGAAAAAAAATACTGTACCATGTATTTCGAATGATTTTGTGTTTACATTATTTTAAAGTGCGAAGGGACTAAACATTTTTACGAATCCCTAAAAAAAAGATATTTCAAGGTAAGGCCAATTAAAGTATTATTTGCGTCAACTGATTTTGTTTTGATATCTTATCTTCAAAAAAAAAAATTCTCCTTTTTTTGTTGTTGTAGTGAAGTTATTTTGTGATCTTATCTGATATTCAATTGTTTTATATTTTTAATTCTATCTGTTGTTGTAATAGTGGAATTGCAATACTTGGGTGACACAATGGCTATAAATTACATTCAAAGTAAATATTGAAACAGGAAAGAAGACAGAATGGAATTTGCTGGTATTTTCTTTGGACCACTGGCTGCAACTTTCTTTATTGCAGTCACTACACTTTTCCTGCTCATATGGTGAGTCGTTGATGTAAATTTCTTCCAATATTAATTATTTGTACAAATAAAATGCATTTCTTCTAACATTAATTATTTCCAATCCCTGGCTAAATTATGAGACGCAACTCTAAGATTCTATGTAAAATCTTAATTATCATGTGATGATACTCTATACAGCTCTACATGATTTTACGCTGCTGAAACCGGTTTGCACTTGTTTACGTTCGTGTATCAATGGGTTAAAAGAGACGATATATTATATAAATTTCACGATAGGATAAATGAGACGAAATATTAAATAAATATAGAATATTTATTATATCAAGCATTATATTAGTATATTATAATAATTAGATCACATTATGAGACGCACTGTGGCTTTTTTTTTTTAATACAGTGCACTCCCGATTATCCGGGTTAATCACCGGTACAGGTCGGACGGACAATCGAAAAGCACGGATAATCCGAAAACTCCTTTTATTAAAGAAAAAATCAATATCAATACAAAAAATATAAAAATTACTGTCATTTGCATGCTGTATAAAATCAAACTAGGAATTTTCCTTTTAAAAAAAACGTGTAATGCGCCATATATTGTCACATATTTTACGAATCGCATTAATGTCCCCGTAATCAGATACTCCCATATAAACTAATATAGTTTCCACAGAGCAGCAGAATGAGAAATTGTATTTTCCTCATTTGCAACATCTTCTGCATCAGTTACTATCGTCATTATTTGATTTAACAACATAACGATGTCTTCATCAGTCAAATACTGGAAGCCAGGCTCACATGCATCAATTTGAAACCAATCATCTAAATTTTCTTCATCAAGAATTTCGAAACCTTCGATTTCTTTTGCTTGTTCAAGAATACTATTATCATACTCTTCTTGAATATCTGACGAGGATTGTTCATCAAGCGGTATGATCTTTCTCCAAGATCGTGATAAAGTAGACGATTTTACCTTTGACCATGCTGCTGATATTCCATATACTGCAATTCAATAACGAATATTGCTTTCAAAAATTTGGTAGTGTTATAACTTCATGAATCAAATTTTTTCAATCTTGAAAATATTTCTCTTTAAATTTTTGGTTGACTCCGGAATGAGCACGGATAATCCGCAAACCGGATAATCCGCGCACGGTTAATCGAGAGAGTACTGTAATTATACGTTTTGCACGAGTTTATAGGCAATACTTTTATATTTAAACATCCAGGTAATAGGTTTTTATTCGGTAGATTTTTCATATACTTCTTATTTGTATTTATTTTTAATGTATTGCATGACAATCCATTGATACACTAACGTCACGCAGAAACCCATAGGACCACATTGCAGGACCCCTATTAAGCCTATAATTGTTTCTCCGGGTAGGGTACACTAGTGCAGGGTAATATAATACCTGGTCCAATATAAATATTAAGGGGAGATATAGGCTTTTGCTCTAATAAAGAACATTGACTTCGAATTTCCTCATTTCAACACACTCTTACACACAGCAACCTATAGGCATGGAGCTAGGCTAATAAACTTATAATAAGCTTATAATTGTTTCCCCTGGTACACACACAGTAATATAATACCTGGTCCATTATAAATGTTATGGGTCAATATTAAAGGGAGATATAGACTTTTGTTATAATAAAGATAATATTTATAAACGTTATTTATTATAAATAATATTGCATTAAAGTTCAGCTGATGTACTGATTCGTGCAATGTTTGGTTTATCACACTATAAGGAATATTTCAAATAAAAAAATGCTTTTTTTGGAGATAAACTGTTTCTTTCAGTACTTTTTTTTAATGTAATAATGTAGACTTTTTGCTAATTTTTGAGGCCCTCCAGAAAGTATGGGCCCTAGGCCCGTGCCTATTGGTCCTAGGCGATAATCAGGCCCTGCTAACGTAAACAAGTGCAAACAGTCTGTGTAAAAACAATAAAGCTGTATAGAGTATCACCTGATAATTAAGATTTTACATAGAATCTTAGAGTGTGTCGAATAATATGGCCAGGGACTGTATATATATAAAATTCATTGCTAAGTTATTATCCAATTTTAATTTTTACTTTGAAATAGAATAGAATTTTCCTAATAGTTGTGTGAGATAAAAAGCAATTTTTTTTTAATGCGATGAGTGTTCCATTTGTCGTATAGCTTATAAGAAATTTTAGAAGCCATGAAAAAAAAATGAAATTACGCTCATTTGCTTTTTGATGGCAAATATAATAGACGTTTCTGTAATTCTTTTTAATTTGTTGTGCATGAACAAAAGTGTTAGATCACCTTATTTTAAAATAAATTTTTTAAAAAAAAAGTAAACTTTGATGAATGAATTTATTTGTTTTTATGTAGGCATTCAATTCGGAGTCACCAATATTGGAAGAAAAGAAATGTACCCTACGCGAAGCCACTTCCTCTTCTTGGAAATATGCTGCAAATCATTTTCGATGTGAGTTCTTATTTCATTCTTTCCTCTTCTGTGCCAATTCTTCAAGTCAAGTGTGAAAATTTAGCTAAATTCCGTCCGAGAAAGCCATGAAAATATAGATTTTTGTGGTCATACATACGATAGATTAATGAAGAAGCTATCATAAAACGGATTTTACACTGCACTGATACTTTGTTTAAAAAAAAAGTTCATTAAACATAAAATAAACTTTCTATTCGATTTGGGGCCCCCTCTGATGTGGGGCCTGGGGCAACTGCCCCATTCTCTGGGGATCCTGTACACACTCGACTGCTAATAGCAACACAGGATTAACCACACACACTTAATACAGCTCTCATGGATAAAGCTCAAGACCTAAACTAGCTCTCCCTGTCTTTCACAAATAGAGCAACTAGTGGTATCCGTTCATCTAATTATATCCCTAATAAAATTCTGACGGGGGAGTATTGGCGTAACTACGATTATTAAACATCGATTCCCTAGATTATAAGGCATGCTAACTTGTTTCGATTTTGAGGTACCTTTTGATAGATGACGGTTGGTATTGTCCGATTAACTCCTCCCCCACATTGGTGACCCGGACGTGATTTGAACATACAGTAACGCCCACTTCGCAAAATTCCTAACAGTGCCTTTCTCTACAGTGCCTATCACCAAAATTAAGCAACATTATAGTGTTAATAATAGTATGGTGACTTTTTACGTTATCCCGTAAACAAATAAGTACATTTTCGCCGTTAATTTTGCATTTTAGTTCATAGCTTATTTTTATAATTTCAATTAATACCGATTACCAAATTTAATGAAGCATCAGTAAAATAATATGAGCGTCAACAATTGGTGTTTTTATACGTTTCTTCTCAACGAATTAGTTCTTAATTTTGCTTTTTATAATTCAAAATTTCTTTTTTTTTTCAATTGTGTACTTGCATTTTAAGAAGAAGATCTCGGATACCCACACATTTGACCTATGACGTCAACGCCAGCTGATTGGCGATTGAAATGGGCTACAAATGGGTGGCGTAAAGCAGAACTCTCTGTTTATGACAACACTTCGCATGCTTTCACAGAAAAAGGAAGTACGCTAATTTCTGTCTTGATTTTAAAATCGATTAAAAACTTTTAAATTATGAAACTTTATCCAACTGATAACTACATTGAACATAGTTCTAAAAGAAAGCGTTGTTGCAATTTTAGAGATATGTTTTTGATAATGAAGTACGATAAATATTAAGAAATCGTAGTGCATTCCTATCCAACTGAGTAGAAGGCATATTTTCCCCAGAAGGCTTATTCAACTGTTGCGATCGCCAATAGTTAAAAGTGAAATAGCATGTTAAAGTTGAGCTAAGTTCCTCCACATAAGTTAGAATATTAATTAACTCGAAATTAATTCAATACAATTTCAATCAATCTTCATCCAAAAACCTTTAAAACTGTTCGTCCCGCAGTGGACTGATCGTTATGACACGGTTCCCAGCAGATCACCGAAGTCAAGCATCACTGGCTGCGGTCAGAGTGCGAGTGGGTGACCACTTGGATCAGTCTGCATAGGGACCGAGGGTGTGCGGTATTAGTCCTCGTTAAACTGTGCTACCGTAAAGTGCTCGACTTCACGTGCAGGTCGTTGGGCTACAGAAGCGGGGGTGCCATCCCCTCTGCAGAGGATCAAAATTGTGATGGCATGTCTTCGGATCATCCTCAGGGATGTTTCCCAGACCGTCACCAATAGCCCATTGTGCAGCTCTAGCGCGACGTAAATGAACTACAACTACAACTTTAAAACTGTTCTGTCTGTTTTTCTACTGACAAAGGCTTATAAGCCTAAATTGAGCAAACAAACCTGCAAATGTATGTATGTTTTACATATATGGCAACACCTCTTCTGTTTTCATTCAAAATTCTGTTTTGAAAACAGTACGATGCATTGCGCTTACTTCTTTTCTTTCATTTATTAAAATCTTAAATTAAACTAGCCATGATTCTTTTTTGAATTGTTTGAAGGAAACTTAATCTTCTACAGCTTATTTTGAAACAGTGACGTCCGCTAAGCCAATGAGAAAATTCCATTTTTTAAATATAAAACATAGTTTCAAAATCAGTCTCCGTCATTTGTTTACAATTGTACTCATTTAACTTATGATGAATATCGTATTTTTAAAGCCTACTTTGGGGGGGGGGGTTACAAGCGATCCGATATTCAGACACAAATTCTAATTTTTATTAGATATATGGGTAGTTATATGAAGGAATCGCTCTTTATTATATGGAACCTCGAGACCGTCTTAATAGCAAGAAAAATGTTTTGCTCCTCTTTAACATGCCATACTGTTCAAAATCGAACTAAGAAAAACTTTCCATACATAATAAAAATGCATTTTTAAGATATACTATAATTTTAAACAAACTTAAGCACATTTTTATCTTCCCAAAAACTCAATGCACATAAAATAAAGCATTTTTAAACTATGCATAATTTTTTTAAAAAGATGAAATGCTAACCAATTGCAATCCTCAAATAATAAAATAATTTTCATAACCAAGAATCTAATTGAAATAATTAAATTAAGAAAGAAACATAAAGGTATAACAAATAAAAAAATTCAGAAGGTATGAATTATTTTGTCACACTCGTCGTTACTAAAACATCTTTCAATTTACATCGGACATAAACCAGTTTAAAAGTTGCTCTCTCAGAGTTGTTCTGTCATTCTAAACTCTTTCAATTATATACTTTATTTATTTAATTATAAATTCTATTTGTTGTTGTTGTTAATTTACGTCGCTTTAGAGCTGCACAATGGGCTATTGGCGACGGTCTGGGAAACATCCCGGAGGTTGATCCGAAGACATGCCATCACAATTTTGATCCTCTGCGGAGGGGATGGCTTCCCCGCTTTGGTAGCCCGACGACCTGCGCGCGTAGTCGAGCACTTTAGGGTAGCACAGTTTAACGAGGACCAATACCGCACACCCTCGGTCCCTACACAGACTGACCGTAGCCAGTGATGCTTGACTTCGGTGATCTGCTGGGAACCGTGTCTTAACCATCAGTCCACTGCGGGACTTATAAATTCTAAACAGAATGGGATGTGATCAACCATATTTAGAGACTTTGTGACTTAGAGAGTTGAGTATCCTAAAAACATTTTAACGTAGAAAAATAGATTTTGGTAGACTTATAGAGTTTTCCTGGTGATAAACTGTTCAAATAATTGGTTTTTGCATGATAAGCAATCTCTATTTAGTAAAGAAAAAAAATTGACACTTTTTACATGTTTTAAAAAATATATGATGCAATGTTTTTGCTCCTAATTTTTTTTAAGTACAATTTATGAAAAGTAAGATTATGAAGGGCCCCTTTGGTGTGGAAGCCCCCCTAGAAAACACAGTGGAACCAATATAGTTTATGATCTTTTTCTTTGATGTTACATCTGGCCAGCTTTACAAACTAGTGAAATTTTAAACAAGGGTGATTTGTGATTTCAAGGACTAATATATACGTCTTACGGACTAATATATACGTCTGTTTGTATTCATTCATCAGTTCTAAAGACAAACCAAGGGTGCTATGATTCTAGTTTCTTTGTAGGTGAAAAAGTAAGCGATTTTATTATTATTTTTTTTTATTATCTCTTTGTAGAATTCCTTTTGGTTTTGAAGTTTAAAAACTTATTGAAATTTGGGGATATTTACTTATCGTGATTTGTCGCAGCTACTACTACTAGAATTGCCAAGGTGTCGAATATAGTAGGTGCTAAAGATTTTAACTTGCACATTTCTTTAGGAAGCAAAACTTGTTCTTGTAAATGTTTGCCCGGGGTTGACTACGCCTCATTATCTTCAAGTTTGTCCCTTTCTGTGATGTTTTTTTTTTTTAGTTTCCCGAGCGCAGCTGCCGTGAAGTTGCCAAAACTCTGCGATTATTCTGCCACTGATCACACTATGGAAATGTCTCCTGAAATTTTATTTATTATATATTACTTAGTGTAACAACATTCATCATAGCTGAACCAGACAATTTAGAAAGAATTAGACAATTTAAAAAGTGATTTTCAGGGCCCAACTTAGCCTAATTAGGGCCCTGGGACAAAAACTTCTTTGGGGCCCCCCTTTGCTTCAGTAATGAAGAAGCGAACTTTATGGAGGTATTTAAATTTTTCACCCCATTATAGATATCAAGAATACTGACTGGAACCTAAAATGGCTATGAAGTCCTCCGATGGTCAGACGAAATATCGTTCTGTCCATTTTATTGATTTTCTGACAATTCTTTGTCTATCATGCCGAATGCAGTTTCCTGATTGTTAATTTTGTCATCTAACTGCGAAAAATTTATATCCTTGCTGACATGAGAGCGGAATTCAGCTAAATTTACACAATTACAATGGCTTACTTAAGCCAGTCAGAATGCTGTATTTTTGTAAAAATATCGCATTTTGCAATATGTAAAAATACAGGCTTCTGATTGGCCAAATTTGTTCATCGTCATTACGGAAATTTAGCTGAATTCTACCCTAGAAAGCCTTGAATTTAAGAGATTTTTTGTGTTCATACAATAGATTAATAAAGAAATTGACGGATTTCTCACTGTACTGATATTTAGTTTAAAAAAATGTCATTAAAGAAGGAAATGTAAAATAAACTTCGATTTGGGGACCCTCAGGGCAACTGCCCCTGCCTTAGTCAGGCTCTGATGACTAAAGTGACTATATCTCTGTGGGAACTGCTGTACCAGGGTTGGAATTTTGCCGGCAAAATGGGATTTTTGCCAGGACAGTGGCCTGGTAAAAACCGGCAAAAACCAAATTATCTAGATTGCTGATTAAATATTATTGCAAAATACTTGAAACAAATTTAAATAAATCATAAGGAATAATAATTTGATACATTACATTAAAAAATTATTTTTTAAATATTAATATAAGGGTAATAAGTTTTACAAGGTTTAAAGTTTTTGACCTCTTTTCATTTTAGAATCCTTAAATAAATGTTTTTTTACAAATTTATTTTTTTTACTTCTTCATAATAACTTTTGGTATGTATTATTTTACATTATATCACTCTTACACTATATTTTAAGAGAGACAAAAGAAAGCTAAGATGGATGTTTTATTAGATAGATTTTGATAATCACCTCATTTCTCAATATTACTTCAAAATACAAACAAAACCACACAATTTAAATTCCCTTGATCCTTTTCACTCACACAAAAAGAGGTGGATGATATATTCATCTTACCCTATCCACACAAGTGTCTGGCACTGTAGAAAAGAGAATAATTTTCCGATCAATAATGTTTTAAACTACAAAAATGATTTATTAATAAATTATGGGATAATAATTTTGTTAATTTTTTTAAATTATATATATTTATAGCGTATATTTCAATTTTAGGAATAATTTTGCATCAAAAATGTGTTTTTGTCCTCTCATCTTGGAAAATATAGGTTTTTGCCTCTTTTTACCACATTGCTTGGCAAAAACCTGTTTTTGTCAGGAGGTTTTTTACCATGGTTTTTTCCACCTGCGGCAAAATCTTGCCTACCCTGGCTGTTACAGTATAGATAGCAAATAAAGGTTTCTTTTAAAGGTAAAAACCCTTGAATGTAAACCTAAAAAGGTTTGTTTTTCGGTTTACGTGTATATCTTATAACCTTAAAACAAGATCTGTGACAATCTGCTTATTCTTTGCACATTACCCTCATCCAGAACCTTGGAAAACAACCTTCTATATAAAAAGCTTAAATCAAAGTTGACTTTCAAGCATGAAAAAAATCCTTTAATCAGGGATGTGATTCTTCCGCGAATTAGCAGATTTCCGCTTTTTTTCAAGTTTTACCATTTTTTCCGCTAATTTCCGCTGAAATTTTTTTTTTTTTTTGCACAAGTTAAAATATTTTATGAGGAATTAAATTTTTCGCATAGCGAAAGTATTGAAGTCCTCATTCCTCCCTCAAACATTGATTTTCGTATTTACCTGATTTAAAAGTTGAACGTTGCGATTCTTAATCAGGCGATTTAAATGTCGTACATTGCAATTCTTATTTACGAGATTTAAAAATCCAATATCGCGATTTGTTATTACCCGCTTTTAAAATCCTATGTAGCGATTCGTATTCACGCGAGATTTTGTTTCTTTCGTTTTTGCGGTTGTAATATCAAACATCGATTTTCCTATTTATACGTGCTTTAAAAATTAGACTGTGGGACTCGTATTCGCATTATTTAAGAATTACGCATCGTGATTCGTATTTACATGATCTAAAAATTACTCATCATGATTTGTATTTTCGCATTTTTTAAATTCGATGTAGAGTTTCATATTCACATGATTTAATAGCCTGATTTCGGGATTCATATTCTCTTAATTTAAAATCATGCATGTGATTCATATTTATATATTCATGCAATTTTAAAATTAATCATCGGGATTTATAATCACATGGTTTACAAGTTTAAAAATTGCACTTTTTTGTCAAATTTCTGTATATACACTGAGTGGCCAAATTATTATGACCACCTCAGAGTTTTATGCAAATGAGTTATTGCGTCACAGCGTTGCCGCTAGAGGGCAAGATAACCATAACACGGGAATGCTGGACAAGTGAGTCATCAGTTATACTGTGTTGCTTGCTCAGATATGGGAAAGAAAAGTGATTTAACTGAATTTCAACGTGGAATGATTGTGGGTGCGAGATGTGTCGGAACGAGCATCAGCAAAACGGCTGCACTTGTGAAGTGTTCTAGAGCAGCAGTTGTTAATGTGTACAAAGAATGGACAATCAAGCAAAAAACCGGATCTCAACGTCAGACTTGTGGTCGTCACAGGGTACTGAATGCTCGATCAGAGAGAAGGCTGGCCAGGGTTGTGCAGCGCAACAGGAGAGCAACAGTGCGACAAATTGCAAGTGATCTTAATCAAGGAGCAACTGTGAACGTCTCTGAACGTACTGTTCGACGCACATTGCGCCGTATAGGGTATGGAAGCAGACGACTGAAGGGGTGGTCATAATAATTTGGCCACTCAGTGTATATATTCATTTATTCTTGAATTTCCTCTTTTTTACTTTCCAACTACTCTCATCCCTGTTTAATAAAGCTAGTCTCAAGGTGAAAATAATGGACAATGCAATTGGATGGTATCGCTAGCGTGACGTCAGCTAAAACATCATTATGGACGCCCATTTTACCTAAGTGACAACACTTTTAAAAAAAGCTTCAAAAATAATTTTTAATTCTTTTAGAATGAAAGGTTTGAAACTGACATATTTTTGCTTTATTGGAAAAAGGTTTTTATTTTCGTGACAATGAACAGGAAATTCCGACACGACGTGCTTTCTTGCAGGAGACCCGTCAATCTCCGACCTTTGCTGAAACAAAAGAGAGCAATTTTCGTAAAAGATTTTCATGAACGGTTTGGTTTTGTAATAAAAAAATTAGAATTCAATATTTTAAAATTAGCTCAAAATAACAGTTTCTTGAACCCTTTCTTGACTTTTTTTTTCTTTCTTGTAGCCCCAACATTTAGTGGAAGAAAAAAGATATAAAGCTCTAGGACGTATTTATGGGTAAGTTTAATTTTTGCTTTATTGTTAAAATGGAACTAATCATGTCCTGGGCAAGAAAAAATATCAAATATGTTAAGAATATAGTCATATCCGTTGGTAGCCACCCTATTTAAAACAGAGTAGCATTTTTTAAAGGTGCTTATTTTTTTATGTAGGTTCTTTAAAAGCTCTTGCTATGCACCCTGTCGTAGTGATTTGAAATGTTGCATTTCATTCTGAAATTGAATCTTAAAGATATTCTCTCCCATGTAAAGTCTCTCCCCACAATGAAACCTATTGAAAACTTACCTTCAGAAAAGATTATCCAGGTGTTCTAATGAGGTGAGCGAAAACTTGATACTGAGATAATATTGGTTATATCCATAGCCATGGTACAAAGCGTTTTTTTAAAAAGTGCTTATTTTCGTTTTCTAAAAGCCCTTAGGGGTGCTTATTTCATGAGGTGTTTTTATAAAGTGCTTAATTTTCCCTTTTCCAAATTAAGATTTTTCATTTACCGTGTTGATTTTCGCTACGAATTATGCAGAAAGACACTGTTCACATTGTTCCATTCAATGTTTTCACAATTAATTCAACCCCAATCTATTTCGGCACATCGTCAGTCTGTAGCGTATGAAAATGCCATTTGACGCTTTCTGACGTACGCCATTTACATGATTCAAAAATTTTGACAATTGTCAAAAACAATGCCGAATTTTTTTTTTTTTTAACATGACGTTTAAAACCAGTTAAAACCGTCAATTGTCAAAAACTTTCCAACCATGCCTAATTATGATATTTATTTGAAGTGCTTAAAAATATTATTTAAGTGCTTAAAAAGTACTTCTTTTTTGTTTAATAATTTGGCTACGCACCTTGTTCTAACAGAATGCATACCGTTGGTGCGTAGCGTATAAAAGCACCGATCATTGTACTCGTTTGATGAAATACTTGCGGTTCCACATGTACGTCTACTGAGCTGGGTTTGATGAAATTCTTGCTCTCTCATGTGCAACTCTGCTGCATTTTGCAAGATATTCTCAATTTCAGGCTTCATTCCCTCTGAAATCGTACCAAGAAAATCTCTCAATCTTTTTAGGGTGGCTGATATAACCGAGAAAAGAGTTCTTTGTCATTCTTTCATGATTATGTAAAAATCTTTGAAAATTATTTTGCATTTTGTTAATGTATTTAGTGCTTAAAAATATTTTTTGAGTGCTTAAAAGGTGATTATTTTAGATTTTTGTTTTTTAAAAAGTGCTTAATTTTCCCATTTCCAAATTGAGATTTTTCCTTTACCATGTCGATTTTCTCTACGAATTGTGCAGAAAGACGCTGGTCGCATTGTTCTATTCAACATTTTCACAATTTATTCAATCCCAATCTCTTTCGGCGTATCGTCAGTCCGTATCATATGAAAACGCCATTCGATTTACATGATTCAAAAATTTTGACAATTGTCAAAAACAATGCCGAAAGTTTTTTTTTATTTTTGACATGACGGATAAATCCGTCAATCGTCAAAAACTTTCCAATCCTACCTAATTGTGTTTTTTTAAGTGCTTAAATATATTATTTGAGTGCTTGAAAAATGCTTAAAAGGTGCTTATTTTTTGTTGAATAATTTGGCTGTGCACCCTGTGAGAGAATTCTTTATGACCCACTCTTAAAGTTTTTTGAATACTTTTGCAGTGAATATAATTTTAAACCCAATGAGGAATCTTTTGGTGGGGGTCAATTAATAAAATTTTATTTTGCAGGCATTATGAAGGTAATCGTCCTGCACTGTCAGTGGCTGATCCAGAAATTTTGCGTGACGTATTCGTTAAAGATTTTCCTCAGTTCTCTAATCGAAGAGTGAGTATATTTTAACTCTTAAATATTGCTTATCTAATAAGATTTTATTTTAATGAAAAGCTTTAATAAATGCGCAATTTAAGAAAGGGGAAGCTGGCAAACCAGATATGACTTCAAGCTTTACCGAGTCTATGAGCAGCCTTGAATTTCTCAAATAATCCGCAGTAATGGGCTGAGATGTCTGGGCCATCTATGGAGAAGCTCTGACCTTCATCACCTTCACGAATCCCAAGGGGTCACGCCCCAGAGGCAGACCCCTCACTAGATGTCACAACGACATCAAAAAATGATTGGAAAACCCTGAAGATTTAAAATTGGAAGGGGGTTGTCGTGGGTGAGAGGTGCTGGCGTTTGTCAGCTGTTGAGTCAGCCAACGCCTGCGAGTGGCTGTTGCGCTGACAAAGAAGAACAGTAGTGTTAATGACGATTGTCACTTTTTTTGTCGAAAATTTTTACGAGTATTCGGAAATAAACTCGATGACACGGTTGTTTCTTAAAAATTTTGATTACATTTTAGAAGTTAACCTTATAATCTTCATCGTGTTTTGAGAAATGCCTTACATGACTAATACCAACAGTGTTTTTAATTGTTTTAAATTGTTTAAAAAGTTTTAAGAATGCTACAAAATTTCTTAATTCAGCCCTATACTGTTAGACTGACAGACCAAAAACGTCATATCATGGGTATTAAAAAGCTTACAGTGCTAGAAAAGTATACTCTCGATATATCAAAAACCTTGATGTGTCAAAAAATTACTTAGCCTCACATATCCACCCAATATCAATTTGAATTCCTATGTCAAAGAGTTTCTTGTAGAGTCTCCAAGAACATAAAATCGATGACTCGGCAGCTATTTTTCAAATGGAAAAATGGTAGTTTTTTTTTAATTAACTATAAGTTTATTGTATCTGAATTCTTTTATATTTAATGCATAATTATTTTTGTGTTGCCTTTAAAAATAATATTATAATTGTAGCATTTTGACTTAGTGTCAACAATCATACAAATATCTTTATTAGTACATACTTATACTAATGATCCATGACTCTATGTTTTAGAATACTATTTAAGAATTTTTTTTTAGCATATATCATTCCGAATTCGGTATCTCGAAATATTTTTAGCCTTTCTTCAACTTTGATACATCTAGAGTATACTGTATAAAGCTGAGCAAAAAAGTCTCCAAATATGAAACACCACTGTTATTGCTGAATATGCAAATTTATTTTCTACTTTCAAATGTAGATCTTAATTGCTTGGCATGACAATTTTATTTTTATTCTGCATATTTTATTTTATCACCGTCTTAGAAAAGCCAAACCAAATTTTTGGGTTTAAGTCTACCTACTAATGTTCAACTATTGTAATTTTGAATTTTGTAATATTGAATCCAATCTAGAAGACAAGGGAACTCCTGGATCAAGTATTGATAGAAATTTGCCTTCATGGAGGACTTTTTAATGGGACTCACTCGCTTTTGTTTTACATGGAGAGGAAAACCTCCCATGGTTAGTCTGACAGCAAGGAAACTCTCACCCATAATCCGTCTATCAAGGAGGAACTATGGTAGGTGTGAGATGAGTGTGGAATTCAAATCATCCAGTCATCATTGTGGGATTCAAACTCAGTTCACCTCATTAGAAGGCGAACGCTCTGTCCCCTGAGCCTTCACGGCTCTTATTCTCTTTATTTTATATCCGTCAGGGTTTACGACTACCGATGTTCACCTCCGCAGCCTTGTACTTTTGAACCAATCCAGAGGACCAGGAAAGTCCTGGATCAGTACCACCAGAGGTATAATTTGTTATTGGAAAGCGGAGGACTCTGCAACTCGACAGATTTAACATGCACCAGACACCATTTACTACACGGGGAGTCTTCGGCAGGCCTGGGATCGAACCCACGAACTCTTGCACGTGGGCCCAGTGCCCTATTATTCTACTTATTATTTAGATCACGGCAAAATTGATCTAACCATTGAAGAACAAGTTGGAATAAAGTCTATACTAATTCTGTCATTGTCAGGCATGCTGGTTTGCTCCACTAAAAGAAGCAAATCCGAGTTGTGTAAACACAGATTTTGGTAGTTTGCACGCCAAAGGGAACTATTTAACAGAACGAGGTGAAATTTTAGCTTTTAAAGAAGTGAGTGGTTCTTAGGTTGGAAAATTGCAGTGACCTCAAATTTTGCAATCCTGGATGTTATGGCAGAAAAACAGTGTGTTAGAAGGCAAAAAAAATAATAAATGATTCATGACGGCAAGAAAGACAACAAATCTGGAGGTTATCGCTCAGATTGAAAATGAAATGCTGCACAGTAATATTCTGACTTACGAACATTCAATAAAATTCATATTTAGCAAATATTACACAAAAATGCTCTTTTGCTAAGAAACATCTTCAGTACGCATTGCAGTGATGGGGTCTCTTCTGATGAAAAGACATTTCATTTGAATTCATGTTACGACTAACAAACATTTATTTTCCAAACGTCACTTATATTTCTGCAAACTAAAATGAATCGTATCATAAAATATTGGGAATAGGACTGGGGGATATAAGAAATTTTATATCGTGATGTATTGCGATATAGTATTTTCGAAATTCATTTGCTTGTAAGGCACAGAAAGTCAGATTTCTATCAAAACTTCATACTCAGATTGATTTAAATCGATTTATGAATTTGAAGTTATATGTTTTGCTTAAAAAAGATATTAATGTTATATTTTCTAAAAATGATCGCGAAAATAACGAAAGATTTCTTAATTTAAAAATAAATAATAAAAAAATTAATAAAATTGAAATTTATCAATATATTTACCTAACACTATAGAAAGAAAATTTAAAAAATAAGTTCATTAAAAATTATTTGTATGCTTAAAACAAAGTGCTAAATAAATTTTTAAAAAAAATACTTTAAAACAACACTATTTTTAATCATTATTATTTCACATAAATAATAAAGTTAAATTGAATAATTACCGAATTCTGAACGAAAAAACAAAGTAAGGTTTAATTTCTTAAAAATAAAAACAAAATTATGATATTCGATAATATATTTAACGGACAATATTGAAAGAAAATTAAAAAACACGATTATACTCTTTAATAAAACGAAGTGCTAAATGATTTTAAGAAGAAGTTGCAAACTTTACTAATTTTTTTGAATAAACAAAGTTGATTGACTTATGTCCAAATCCAAAAGAAGAAAAATAAGTTTTCTTAAAATTTTATTTATAAAAATAAAAACAACTAAGGATTTATAAATTTAAAATCAGTAATAAAAACCCATTAAATTATTAGAAGTTTTATCCAAAAAGTTTTTAATAAATTAAAATAAAGTAAGAAATAGCCTAACAAATTTAATTACTCTGTCATTTAATTCTTTATGGGCACCTTAAATTAGATTTCTAATTGTAATAAATTCAATAATGTAAAAAATTACTTAAACACATAATATCAAAATTAATTTTCATATTTGAAAGTAATATAAAAAGTTTTGTTTTAAAAAAAATATTTACTAATTAATTAAGAAACACTTCTTTATATATTCTTTTCAATAATAGATTATGTTCAGAACAAGGTAATGGCAGCGATCACAAAGTCAGTCCCACTGCCCACTGAAAATAATCTGCAAGAAACGATATCAAGTCATGACAAAGGAAAAGAAAAAAACTATGAGGCGCGAAAACGAACATGCGAGATCACAATATATATTCTCAAAACTATGGTTCTGATTCTACCACTCATCAATCAAGGCCATTTCAACATAACGAAACGAACACTTCTACAGCGCTAGTCGGTATCAGTTGCAAGAAGATCTTTGCGCGTCTTATATCGATATATTGTTTTGCGGTCATCGTCTTTAGTCTATGGCTTAAATCAGATTTCTGGTGCATCGCCTGTAACGAAAGTTGTGTATCAGCTTGCTGATTTATGCGTTAAATCGATATGTCGCGATACATTGATTTATAGCCCAGTCCTAATTGGGAGATAATTTATTGCACCTTTTGACAGGACACTTCAACTGAATGAGTGGCTGTCTTTGGGGAATATTAGTAAGAGACAGGTTGCAACCCCAGCAACTCTATCTGAATCCATGAATGCTAGATCGAAAACAGACCTTGAGTGATAATTGTACCCATTTTATACTTTTTTTTTACAACTTTACGTAATTATGGCACATAGAGTTGTAGTGTGTCTACAATTACAAAAATACAATTCCAATTCACTAGTATATGAGACATGTTAACTCGATTCTATGCCGGGGTACCTTCTCATAGATGAAGGCCGACATTGTCTACTCTCCCCACATGGGTGACCTTCGGATGTGCTGTGAACACGTCTATTTTGACAGAAACTCCCATATCAATTTGAACACGCCTACTTTGATGGACGGTTTCCCTTAAACAGTTGATTTGCTACTTGTGCCGGCAATACTTTTCCACCTCCTCGCGCTGCCGCTACTCGATCTCACGCGACTATGGCCTGTATACACTCGACCGATAATGGCGACACGGGAGCGACCGTGAACTTAATACAGCTCTCACGATCAGCATTTCAAAGTTCAGTGATCTTTATACAGCTCTCCTGGCTTCTCACAAAACAGTAATGAATTAGCTAGTGGTATCCGTTCATCAAATTCTATCCCAGATATAATTCTGGTGGGAAAGTACTGTAGTGCATACAAAAATACAATTCACTAGTATATGAGACATGTTAACTGGCTTCTATGTCGGGGTACCTTTTCATACATTGTTGATAACTACTCACCCCCCACAAAGTAATGTATTTTGATGTTTTTGCAGACATTTCTGTCGGGTGAGGAAGTGATGGACAAGATGGTATCAAACCTGGAAGGGGAAGAGTGGAAGAGAGTTCGAACAATCCTTACACCAACCTTTACAACTGGAAAACTGAAGAGGGTAAGCTCAACATAATATCTATCTGAACATTTTATTATAAGTTCATATAATTTTTAAAGGGTGTAACCGAAAATATAAAATTCTGACCCCAAGATCTTTCCCATACACACCCTACGTAAAATGTTTTCGCTTCTAAACAAGCCATAGTTTGTATAGCCCCCATTACAATCGAGTGCTAAATAGTTACACTGCTATACCTATCTACAGAAATGAAAGTTATCAGTTGCAAAATGTACGTATGTTTTTAATAAAGATAATAGTATTTTCATTTTTAAATATCTATTCATTGTACTAAATAGTTTTATTATAAATCATTTCTTTCTGCTTTATTAAGTCTTAATATTCTCTCTGTGCTACGGTATGATGCAGTTTACAAACTAATTATAATTTAAGAATTAGTGTGTTTCCTTAACTAACTGTTTGCACTTTAAATTGTATCTTTAAGTGATTCTCATGTGTATCATATCTTGTTATTATAAATGTTAGTGTAGTGAGACATTTCGGTGTAAAGTAGTTGCCACCATTTTTGATGCTACTCTACAATCTACCTACTATGATGACTACACCAATCATCAAGAATAATTCCTGGTGAAGTTAAACACTAGCAATGTTCTTATACACGTCTATTCAGTAACACTAAAACTTGTAATTATAGTAAGAGTTATGATACGAGATCGTTTATTCTGGATGCATGTATACAATAAAATTGGTTTATAAAACCTCACAGCACAAAGAAAATTTTAATATGAATTCAAACTAGGCTTGACGAAAGCGGATAAAAGATTATAAAATTATTTAATGCAATTGAAAGATTTTTTTTATAAATCTTCTTATGAGAACATAAATATATTTATTATGGACATCCCCCTTTAAAGTGTTGCTCAGTTTGGTATTAACATGTGATCATTCACTTTGAGAATTTTTCATCACCAAGATTGACCTCAGTTTATATGCTTTCAGCTAGGGGGGGGAGTGATAAATATATTTATTTTTGCATATTTGGTTGCTATTTTGTTCTTTTTTTTACTTTTTAGAATTTTTTTTTTTTTAATGCATTTTGAATGATATTTTTTTCCATCGATCTAGGGTATGTCGAGGTTTTTTTAAGCAGTACCTATTTTGTGAAAATTTAGATATAATTTGTGAAAAGTACTGTAAAATAAGAAAATATTTTCAAGAATAGCTACTTCAAATAAAAATCATTTATGCCTCGTAAATTTCTGTATATTTTTCCCTATTTAAAAAAGATAATTTTGCTATTGTAAAATTGTGGGCTTAAAATTGTATTGAAATATATTTAAATATCCATAAAATTGATTGTTCATAATTAAATTTCAACTTGAATTTTACAAAAACATACATTTAACAACACTAAAAGTTATCTTCATTTTGAGAACACTTTCGACTGGGTCCATACAGAAAACAAAAAGTTTCACACATAAAAAAATTTTTCATAAAAAAAATAATTAAGTCTATCTTTCAATTTTAAGAATATTCAATACCATTGGTTAATACAAGCTAGTTCTAATATTCTTGATGACTGTAATTAAAAATTCCTATGTAACACTTTATTTTAATCACAATCTTTTTACTAAATTTATAAATATAGATTTTTGCATTTTTTTTAATAAATCGTAAATCTTTTTCTGATGTGAAACATGTTTTCAAAATTTTTTAATGTTTCATTTTTGAGGACTCTTTAAAAGCTTTTTGCATTTTTAGGAACTTTTTATAAGAATTTTTAAATAATCACATTCTTAACCTTACTTTTATTACTTGTGATTGAGACTGTTTTTAAATGTTTTAAGAACGAATCATTTTGTTCAATTGTAGTGCTTAAATGGGATGCGTCTCCTTATTATAAGTTAATCAAAACAATTTTAGTAAAAATAATAATTTTGCACTTTAATACTTATTATTTAAAAGAATGCTCCGATAGTATGCAACCCTTAATGTAGCAAAAGGTTCAAAAATATGAAAATTGCACGCATAGAGAAAGTTGAGTGTTGATACGAAATAATTTAATTTGTTGAGTTTTTAAATGAGTCATTGAATTCATTATTTTCAGTCAAATTCGAGTGATTACTTTGTTTTATGTCATGAATTTGTCGATAAATAGCTGTGGTCCAAGATTATAATAATTGAAGCTCATACACTTAATATGTTTTGATATTATGTCCCATTATAACTCTTTTTCTAGGTTTGCTGATATTTTTAAAAGGGGTTCTGTGAATTTGGCCGACCTTTGATAGTTCACTCATTATAATGATCATTTTGTTGTAATCATGAGCAACCCTTATCCGTAATTAAGAGGATATGCCTGTAGATTTTGTTTCCCTCTCAAGATTTTTCCTGTGCTGCAGTTTTTATGAGTGGTCTTGTCAAACCTAAGTAATATAGGAGACATGATTCATTGTAAAGTTTGAAAAGAAAAAGAAAAGCAACTTTTCGAAATGGCCGTAATTATGATTTATGTGTATCTAAATGGGAGTCAAGTTTGTTAAAATAGACTTTTTTTCAATAATTTTAAGAAATATACATTCAGAGATGATTTTGCTCCCGAAAATCCGGATTTCCAGATTTTTGCTAATTGTGATCCGGAAATTTTTGGAAATCCAAGGTCCAGAAGTTTCAGGAAATCACATTTATGTATTTAAATTCTTGTATATTTATTTAAAAATATTAGAACTAGAATTTATACTTGATATCTCTTTCATTCGTTAATATTTTTTTCTGGTAGAATAATAAATGTGATTGGACGTAAAAGTAAACTTAAACATAATTGTTCATTTAAATTATGTTGCATATAATTTATTTAGAATTTCATGTTTTTAAAATATCCATGATTTAAATTTATAAAGGCACTAGTTTTTTAAATGCATCATTAATGATTTTACGCAAGAAAATTTCAGTATTTTTGAGTTGGCCTGACAATCACCCCTGTTGAATAGCATTCATTCTTTTAAAGTATTCAAAGAAACTGCATTTGAATTGAAGGAAGATTAAATTAGCATTTGCCCTAGTATTCCAAAAACATATTTTTCTCATCCTATATTTTTAAATGCACTTTAATGTAATGTATTCTATTTATTTTTCATTCTTTTAATATATATATATTGTTTCTTAGATGATAGGCATTTTTAAGGAATGTTCAATGACATTGGTTCAAAATTTTAAGCTGTCTGCGGAGAAAAAAGAGCCCGTCAATATGAAGAAGTAAGTCCTATTACTACTGAATTTAATTTTGTGTAAAATTGACACAGAGCAGATTTCTTAAAAAAAGTTTCTAAACTTTCTTTTACTAAGTGAAGGGGAAAAAACAATGAGGCTCTAATCTAAGTTCTTAAAAGAATTTTTATTAAATTTGTGAGGTGTCGAACCTTCTTAAGTTAATCTCGAGTGAATACATCTTTTGATAAGAGATAATATGAACTTTTCTACATACGCACAAATCTGAATTAAAATTGTTCTTTACAAAACTAATTAAGTCACGAAATGAGAAGACACTGAATAAACATTTTCGTAGATTCATTGAACTACTGGAAAAACCAACAGAGAAATCCATTTGAAAAATATTTATTTACTTCATTCAGTAGAGGTGGAAAAAAAATTTGAATTGTAATCATTTTAAAGTATCCCAAACTTGGGTAAAATCAGTTGAAGACAGGAAAGCATTAAGAAACCGCTATAAGGTGAGAGAAATCTTTCATGACAAATTCTATTGCACCTACATAATTTAAAGTATAAAAAGCGTTCAGGTAAACATTGAATTTCAAATTTGTAAAACTAACTCAAAATTAGGTCGACGACTGTTATAAATAAAAATTCTGAAATTAAGCCCTCAGGGTGTAGAGCGCTCGCCTTACAATGAGGTAACCCGGGCTGGAATCCCAGCAATGGCTAATCACTACGAATTTCGCATCCGGCTCTCACCGACCGAAAAATGTCCTTAGTAATAGACAGATCATGGGTTTTTACCGCCTGGCTAACCTTGGGAGATTTTCGTAGACAAATTTCTCCCAATACTTGATTCAGGATTATCCTTGTCTTCTGAATTGAATTTAAATTCACAAAGCATCCGGCTCTCACCGACCGAAAAATGTCCTTAGTAATAGACAGATCATGGGTTTTTACTGCCTGGCTAACCTTGGGAGATTTTCGTAGACAAATTTCTCCCAATACTTGATTCAGGATTATCCTTGTCTTCTGAATTGAATTTAAATTCACAAAGCTAAGAAGTTGAACATAGGTTGGTGTAATTTCAAAATCAGGTCAGTTGTTTAAGGAAGGTTATAAAAAAAAATTCTAAAACTATCAAAAAGAAAAAAAAAATTATTTCAAGATCCCCATTGGCAGAATTGCCGTGTCGCAGAGTTTTTGCAGAAAATTTTTTTATTAGGGGTGGGGAAAATTTCGATTCTCCTTTCTGCGTGATTTTTCGAAAAAGGCTTCTTTTTATTTTCTGCAGAATTTTTTTCAAAGATTTCTGTCTTGTGGCGCATCAGGGAGGAACGAAATAATCGTGATTTTTCTATTCTCATTTAGGACTTTAAAAGAGAAGTCCGTAGTGACTGGCTTCAGCTAGAATTTAAAATGAATAATATAAAATAAAAAATTCAGATATCGCCAAAGTTTAAAAGACAGTTCGTTCTAAAAATTATGTTCTTTCGTTCTTTTTCTTTTAAGAACACCATGTTTTACACAAACTTATTTGAGTATCTCTTTTTTAAAGAGTCTTATTCGCGTGATTTCGTTACCTATCTTTATTTTGGCTTTACTGCACGAATTTTAGGATTTTTAATGTATGTACGAATTTTAATTTACTATCGCTTAATTTACTTACGGATTTTAATATGTGTAATGATTTACAAATTTCAAAAGAGGAAATAATGGGTGCATTTTTTCGGCTACAAAATGCGAGAAAGCGTCGATAATATTAGAACTTAAAAAATATTATTTTTATTCTATACTGTAAACACAATGTTACTTTAAATTAGTAATTGTTATAATTAAAAGTATCTTAAAGAAAAATATTAATGCTTGTGTCGCAGAAAGTCTGAATATATTCCTGCCATAGTTTGTATAAATTTTGGTGTATTTTTAAAACATTTATTTCTGCATTCAATACTAATGCAGGTGTTTTATAGATTGTATGGAACGATGGCCATGGATGTTATTGCAAGTGCTGCCTTTTCAACAAAAATTGAGTCACACAGCAATCCAGAGAACAAATTCGTTCAAATGGCAAAGAAAGCTTTTGGAACAGACGTTTCATGGAGATTCGCTCTATTTAGTAAGCCATCTCATTTTCCCCTGCTCAGGATAACAACCCCTTAATATTACTTCATGCGAACTTTTTTAGAGAATTGAAAGATTTTTCAAGATATAATTCTAAATTTTAAAAATACGATTCTTCTAAAATTCAATTTCTCAGGATTTGTTCAAAGTTTTTTGTTTTGTCATATAAAATTAAATTAGTTTAAATGATGCAAAAAAAATTTTTAACCTTGCAATGTTTTTGACTATTATTAAATAAAATAACAAATAATAGTTAAAAATAATTTTTTGCATGAAATTATTTTTGGATTAACAAATTTTATATTTCTATGCAACGTTTTTCTATTCGCTTAAAAACTTCTCGGGATGTGGCGAAATACACAAAAACTATGGTTAGCATTTAGATAAAAAAAATTATAATAGTAAGTAAGGGATTCGGACTTTTCAATCGCCCTGTTGACCGAAACTTTTGAGGCCCATTTTTTTTCCAGCTCCTCCCCCTTATGAAGGTGTGAAATCCAAGTCTGTCAGAGAAAGTACATTCTTATGCCTAACTTCGTATTGTTGCGCGAAAGTAACTCGATCACAACTGCCTTTTAATCGTACATTAATGGGCCACCCATTGCAGCAGGAACAGACTTAAAAAATACATTATTGCTGTTAGTAACAAGATGATACTAATAATGGATAAACCACTTTCAACAATGAATGAATTATTTGGTTTCCTCAAGGAATGGAGGTCACGCTTATTAAACTGCTCTCCTTACCAATTATTTTGAAGGAAAAAATCCAACATATTTTTTTATTTTATTAATAAATACAAGAAGCGAAAACAAAACATAATACACAGGTTCTATATGGAAATTATATATATTTTTTTTTTTATGTGTAAGAAAGATTTAATTTATCATCCCTAGTGATCTGGGGCAAATGAAAAAAGTTAAATATAAGTTTTTGTATGCACTACTTCTGGAAAATAATTTTTCACTTCCTCTTTATGTTGACAAAATTGAGTAAATCGAAGGAAGTCGTTCAGCCTCAATGTTGGGTATAAAACCCTACTTACCACCAAAAAATTAGCTTAATAAATTTTCTTAAATCAAATTCATTTCTATAAATTACCATTTCTAGAAATAACTGGGCTGCTTAAAGGGTCAAAATGATGACTGATGTAGTTGGACTGTTTAACCCTGGCTTTATTGTTACTATAAGATTCTATGCAAAATCTTAATTATCAACTGATTCTATACACCTTTATTGTTTTTACAAGACTCTTTGCATTTGTTTGCCCTCCTGCATCATTGTAATGCAATACGTTAAAAATAAATGCAAATTGAAAGTACAGTAGAGAACCGACTATCCGGAACGATCGGGACCATCGCAATTCCGGTTAACTGATTTTTCCGGTTTTCTGAATCGCTGCAAAATGTAGTTTTTTTAATGTTTATAAAACGAAACTAAAGAATTATTCTGAAATAGTTTTAGAAATAATAAAAAATGATAAATAATAATACACTTAAGTTTAAATAAGGAAAGAAATTATGAAATAAAAATTATATACAGGCTTATATAATGTTATGTTAATTGTTATTAATGTTATTATTAACATTAATAACATATATAGGCTATTTGTGCTTATGTGAGATTCGTCTACAAACGACTTTTGATCCGTCCTCTAAATCAGTTCTTTCGTCAACTGGATACGCCGTACGCTCTAAATAACAAAATGGGCTCAAAATCTTGCAGGAAAAAAAAAAATTTTTATTGGAAGAAAATTAATTTCCGGTTCGGAATTTCATTCTGGTTATTTGGTTTTACGGTTTTCTGATTTCCGGATAAGAGGTTCTGCACTGTAGATATAAAAAATCTCCTGAATCCATTAAATGTATATTTAAATATAAAAGTATTGCATATAAACTTGTGCAAATCCCGTAATTATTAAAAAGACTAAAGTGCGTCTAATCATTGGGTCTAATGATTATAATATATTAGTATAATGCTTGATATAATAAGTATTCTATCTTCATATAGTCTCATTTATCCTATCGTCAAATTTATAATATATAGGGTCTCATTTAACCTATTGATACACGAAGGTGAAGACAATAAAGCTGTCACCTGATAATTAAGATTTGACGTAGAATGTTATAGTTCATTATTATTAATAAAATGTTAAACATGACCTACTATTTTATTTAATGTCACTAATAAACATTTTTCAGTTCTTTCACCATCCATTATGAGATTTTTCAAAATTTCACCTTTTGTGCCATCAGTTGTGGACTTCTTTCAAAATGCTACTACTTCTATTATTCAGGAAAGAAAACGTTTAGGACAGGTGAGGCACCCTTCAATAGACATGGTGTTTTAAGAAAGTACTTAAGAGGTGCTTATTAAATGATTTGGTGATGATGGAGAGGGGAAAAAATGAATTCTTTTTTGACAGCCATGGGTGCCACTCTTCAGTCCTGAGGACTGAAATGAGTCTTGAGAAAAGAATGGTTCTCCATTCAATATTTATTTTCAATTCATTATTCACAATTAAGTTTTCATTTACAACTTTTTATTTAAAAGTATAATAATTATTCTATGTAAAAATAAATAATTATTATTTATGAAAACATTGTTTTTCATAATTATTGCGAAATGGGGAAGTAGTGATCTTGCACCACAATGAAAAAATGGGATTGATTGACTTTCAACATTTGCTTCTCTAAACAAAATGCAGATTTTGATAACATTCTCACGCTATCAAAACCCGTGAAATATTAAATCACGTCTTTCTCTAATATGTGCTTTCTCAGGGTGGCCACCCACCTGGAATTGTCAGGGAACTTTTTTTATGCTGAAAAAAATCTGGAAAAATCAGGGACATTTGGATAAAAACCTGGAAAAATTAGGGAATTTGAAAGAAAAGCTGGAAATTTTTTCTTCAATAATTTTCTTAATTTCACTAATTTAAATTAATTACTACCTAATTTTCTTAATTTAAATTATTTCATCCATTCTGCACACTTTTTTTAGACGAAAATGTATTGCCAAATAGTTGAAATATCATCAACTTAGCAATACTGAGCTTGCATCAAAGTTTGCTCCATTACAGCTTTGTTGAACTAGAATGCCACATAAAGTTCTCCTATGGTTGGTAAACTAGTATAGGAACCTTTGACCGCTACGGAGACTATGGGAATGTTTGTCAACAAATTGTTACAATTGTTACATTAATGCTAATTTTTTTTCTATTTCATTTTAACCTTTTATAACATATTTTTAAAAAATGTTTTTTCAACAACTAACTATATATTAATATTTAATTTTAATGTTCTGTTGGTAAATATTTGATTTTTGATTTAAAATTTGAATTGTATAGTAATCACAATATTGAAAGTTCTTAAATGTTACTTGCTTTCGAGAGATGATATTTCCAGAACTATTCCTCCTTTTACCCTAAAAAGCTGACAAACACTAAGGAATGTGAAACTTATTGTATGATAAAATATGTTTTAAACATTAAATATATTTTTTTAAATTAGTATGTGTTCAGTACAAAGAAGGAAAGCGAAACTTAGTGTTTTAGTTCCGCACTGTACAAGACTCTAGTTGTTAAAACAAAAACAATTAATTATACTAAACTTAAAAAACTATGTGTTTAGATTGGAATCCTTTAAATATTTTAATTTCAAATAAGAGAAAAAAGTATAAAATGTAAGGAATTATATCTTTTTTTTATATATATACAGTAAACAACAAAAAATTAGGCTATTTTACTTTTGTGACATTTATTTTTGTATACTGAATCTCTTAAAATTATAATGCTGATTCAAAAAAAAAAAAAACAGACTACAGAAATAAAACTATCCATTAATTAAGGTGAATATTTCAGAATGGATATTTAATAATAAAAATATATATTCTATTCTTATTAAAACTGCATGGAATATTTTAAAAACAAAGCAAAAGTTTATTTTTAGGAAATCAATCATCAAAAAGTAACAAAAACTTTATCGTACACTTTCAAAAATATCTCTGTCTATTAGTAAATATTCTAATTTTTCTAATTAGTAATATTTAGTAGAGTTTCCTTTCACATCTAGAATAGCTTTTATAAGTTTGTAAATAAATGTAACTAGTTTTTTTTTCTCGGGTGAAATTCGAGAAGAATAATTTTTAATAAATTTTACAGAAACTTTTACAACACTTATTTGTGAATTTTATAATTATAATCTCTGATATAAAGTCCTTCTTTTAAGCATTTTATCACATATTGCACAGTGCAATAGGACGGACACATTAAACTAATTTAACAATATTCATTGCTGATTTACCTCTTATGATGACAAATAATCAACTTTCAAATTTGGTCTATTGTTTTGTTATGGCCATGAATCATTTTTAAATAATAAAAGAAAATATTACGGTAAAGAAACAATTAAAACATTGTTTTGCTATCTCAAGTTTGATAATAAATTGCAAATAAATATACAAAAAATTAAATGAAAAATAATTAAATAAAAAAATTAAAGCAATAGTTGATAATTTTAATTCTGAAATCGGAAAACATTTAAGTGTACGATGACTTTCTTAGGGTAAAATTTTTTTTTATTATTTGATTATTGATATCTTAAAAATAAACTTTTGGTTTGTTTTTAAATGCAGTTTTGCTAAGATTAGATTATAGATCTTATTATCAAATACCCACTCTGAAATATTCATTTTAATTAATTAATTTTTATTTCCTATTTCAATAAAAGTTATAAGTGAACATAAATTTTTCGGAGCCACTGTAATTAAAAAATTTATCAATCTATAATCACCTGAAACGGTTTTCCTTTCTGCTTAATAAAAATATATTAAACAGGACTAATCCAAGGTTATATTGGTCATTCTGTTTTTGCCATATGCTAGGTGCATTTTGTGAAAAAAATTTCTTAACATAACACATTTTAAAAAAATTATTCAATGAAAACAATATACTCTACAAGCTAAACCTATTATTTTCTCCACGTGTCTTTATTTTTTTTTAATTGATGTTGTATCAAAGCATTAAAAAATAAATTAAAAATCTTGCCAAATTAAAAAAAAAAAAGTTTTTTTTTCAAGATAATATGTTAAAAAAATAACATTTTGAAAAAGTTTTTTTATAATATTGTAAGATTTTTACCTTGAAAAATCAGGGAAATTTAAAATCTGATTTGAGTGGCCACCCAGTTTCTGTTCTTCAATGTGTTGAGTTTATAAGTCGTGGCATAAACTCAAGTGAATAAATTATACGAAGAGTGAGCGATACTACTTTATTTTGAAAACAGGTCCTTCATTGTTTGGACAATCAAAACCATCAGCTGAAAAATATTCTTTGGGAGGGGGGGATAGAAAATGCACATCTTTTTTTTTTCTTTAATGCAACCAAAATATTATGGGATCATTTCTTTGGTCTAAATATAAATAATGATTTCAAAACCCACAGCAGCTTCCTCTACAAAGATAAATTTTTGTAAGATAACTTAAATAAGGTATTCAACTGCTATTAATAAAAAAATATATATATTTTAGCCTATTTCACTTTTTTTTTCTTCGTCTTAATTTAAATTTCATAATATTAATATGCGAAATTACAATTTCTAGAACCGCAATGACTTTCTTCAGTTGTTGATAGACACTGCCAATGAAGTGGCCAAACAAGAAGAAGGAAATGAAAAGGATGAAGATTTGGCGAACAATTATGGTCAAGAAGTTGCCAGTCAAAAAGTTTATCTTAATAGTGTCACAAAAAGTAAGTAATTTAAAAATTTTAATTATTTCTTGAATAATTATTATGTATCCGTGATTATAAACAGCTTCAGTTAGCTGGTTGTGTAGGTATTGGGGATACCCCCTGTGGCAGAAATTTTTCAGGCTTTCTACGACACGCCTCTCTAACACTAATATCTTTCTGCAAAGTACTTAAAAATGACAAATATACATGTTACTAATTTAAAATAACAAAAGTGTTAACTTCAATAAATAAATTGGATCAAATAAAATAATTTTTTTAATTCAATAAATGATTTTTTTTATTCTAATATTATGGATGATTTTGTCATATTTTTTAGAAAGATAATACACTAATTGTTTCCTTTTTCGTATTTTGTAATTCATCATCACACTAAAATTTTCTTAAAGAATCGTGAAATCTGTTGCAGTAGCTACCGACAAAAGAGATTCACAACGAAATTGCGCAAGTTTACTGAATGCGTGCTTTCGAGATTCAGTTGTTGTAATAAATAATATCGTATTCAAAATGTCGGATTTTAAAAGCTATGTGGAAATCAGTAGTAATAACTATATGAAAAAAATAGAACGAAAATTACTACAGAAAAGAAAACCAAATTTATTAATTCATTATTCTTAATTTTTCATTATTCTCAAATAAGAATAGAAAAATCATAAGCATTTTTTTTCCCACACGGATGCACGAGAATGGCATCTTTTGAATATAATTCTGAAGAACAGATAAAATCTTTCGGAAGTTTCTGCTCGGTAACGTTCTGCGACAATGTCGCCACGATTCTGCCACGGGGGGGAGGGNGGGGGGGGGGGGGGTGCTCACCACTTAGCAATTCTGTCTTAGCAATAAGTAGTTAAAATTAATTACGAAGTGGAACAACATCATGGATTTGGAGAAAATCTCCTCTCAGAGAATTTTTCTTTAGAAATGACAATGTTACTCATGCTTTTTCATGATTTGAGGCATTTTATTCTTTTCAACGTCCACAAGGCTCTAAATCGATGATGCTCAACAACTTTGTCTTTTTTCCCAACTTATTTTTTTTTTTTTTTTTTTTTTNTTTTTTTTTTTTTTTTTTTTTTTTTTTTTTTTTTTTGTAACGCATACCTATTTTACTATATATAGACACCCCCTTTTGTAGCTATTGCTGAAGCGGTATGAAAGTTAAGAAAATTAACACAGACTTAAGTATGCATTCTGTGCACTATTAACATTATGCCTATTCTTTTATTTTATCAAGTCCATTATAACAATGAAACATTTCGACACGATTTTTTAAAAAATATGAAATGTTTTCAAGGCCCCTAGCAAAAACTTGATATTTTCAATATGTTTAAAAAAATTTCTGTCAAAATGTTTTAACTCTGTTAGAAATGCTTTAAAATCAATATAAAGAAAAAAGTTTTATTTAATTATATTTATAAAATGTCATTACAAATAATTCTTCCCTCAGTAAAGTTTGACATTTTGAAGAAAAGTGAATCACATGTTTATAATATCAGAGCAAACAGTCATATTATTTAGAACTTTATAGAAAGTAATAAACAAGACATGATTTTCTAATGATAGAACACCAAAAATATTATAAATTTAGCAATTGTTCAGTTTAATTTGAGCAATCTTCAAAATCATCCTTCGGTTTCTCATAGTAATTTTTATTTTGATCATTTGTTGAGGCGATCTTCACTTTAATGATAGAGCACATAAAAAGGTGATTACACTGTTGCAAACAGTTCTATGGCCTTAACTATTGGCTTGATTGTTGATTTTTCTTTTATTGTTTGAATTTATGGAAGTTCCTTGTAATTGTTAGGTCATATTTTAGCGAAGCTAGCAAGGTTTAGGACAGAATGGATTAATCCACAGTTTAAGACATCCTGTCCAAAACCCCTTTGTCTTAAACTGTCCAAAACCCTTTTATTCAAATTATGTCACAGTTTTAAAAAAATACTGGGAACAATAAAATGTTAAGTTTTGACCATGAAACAGACAAGTTTTTGTTTCATTAAAAAAGTTTATTGCTATTTTTAATATTGCATTTTTTTATCCTTATGCAAAAACGTAATTTTATCAATATTAAAAACATATTTATTCATAATTACGGGATAAGATATTCACTTTCGTTGTTCAATGAATTATGCAGCTTCAAAAGTTATAAATCTTTTCTTATTATATTATATTATTTTCCTTTAATAAGTTAAAGCAAATTGTATAAAAAGTAACAAATATTTGTTAATATATGTAATCATTATATGTACAATGGTTGCACCTTTCAGAATTTTTACCTTTTACCTATGTTCATGGTTTTGGACACTTTAACAGGGTTCCCACGATACTTGAAAAACCTTGAAAGTCCTTGAATTTTCTTGGAAAAAATCAGGGCCCTGTAAAGTCCTTGAATTCTGCCATAGGGTACTTGAAAAGTACTTGATTTTTTTGGAAATAACATAATCTTTCTTACAAAAATGCTGTAAAAAAAGTAAAATAATAAATTCAAACGAAAAGTTATAGAAGTTGTGGTAGATGCAGTTTTTAATGTTTGAAGAGTGAAAAGAGGTTAAAGAAGAGACAAAATTTTTCACTCCAGATTATTGTTCATCTCTGATGTTTAGAAAGCTGAAATTTCCAGGAAATTTTAGTTTTTGTAGTCATGGTTGCTGAATAACTAGTGTTTCATTGATTTAAAAATATGTTCAATGTGTTAACTTCGTTATTATGACCGGTTAATATTATTATCCTATTTGGGTTTTTTTAAATTTTAATAGAAAGTATCATTAATTCGTTATCATCAGATTTTTATATTTAGTTTTTACTGCTAATAAATAAAATTTAGTTCTAGATTTCATGAATTATGAATAAACATCGTGATTCTTATTAAACTGATTCTTGATTTATGGATCGGAATTCATTTAAAATGTTCTACGAATTGGGATTCAAATGAAAGTGATTAATGAATCATATATTGAATGTTGATTTAAAGTGATTTGCAAATTACTCATCAGGATTCGTATTAAGGTATTTTATAAATCACACATTGTGATTCACATTAAAATGATTTATCAAACACACATCATGATTTCAATTAAAGTTATTTCTGAATCATGTAACGTGATATGTATTTAAGTAATTTCAAAATTGTGCATCACAATTCTCATTCAATTAGTTTACATGGTATTAAAAGGATTTAAGAATTACACATTATGATTCACATAAAAAGATTTAAGAATTAACGTTGCAATTCTCATCAAAATGATTTATGAATCACACATAGTTGTTCTAAATTAAGCAACTTTTGAGTCACAAATTACTATTTCCCTCGTAATGACCACTATTCAGATGAAAATTATTAGCTAATCATGCAGCAGAATTCACATTAAAGTGATTTATCTCACATAGTGATTTACATCTTGTTAGTTTTGTTAGCGTTTTGTGGCATTTGCTATTCATATTGTTCCAATTTAAGAAACATATACCGCAATTCAATTTCAATTTACAAATCGCAAATTGTGATACATGATTTACACAATCTTCAAGACTTACTTCTCCTTTCTTATAATTTTGCTTTACATATAGTATATCTAGATTTGTACAAATGTGATTTTTAAAGATTACGCATAGTGAAAATTACACATGTTCTTTAACTTTTTAAAATCATGCTTCACATTTTATGGATTTATTTTAAAGAAAGCTTCATAAGTCTTAGTTATTTGTAAAATATTGTTCTACAATAAATTGTGTTCAAAATACATTACTGATATTCTGAAGTAACAAAATCGATAATGTGTTATTAAAATCAAAACAGATGTGCTATATTTTGATATTTTATCTAATTATATTCATTTGCTGTAACCTAAAATTTGGATTTAACATATTAAAAAAAAGTATTTATGTTTTAATAAACTTGCATAAACTTTATCAATTATTTACTATGCTTGTTTAATATAGTATTATTTTTCATTAATTCTAATTTACTTTATAAAATTTTTCATGAAAAGTTTCACTGTTGCTAGTTTTTAAATGTTCGCTAGTATCATTGGAATTTTTCAAAGTGATTTGAAATATGGCTATATAACTATCAACCATTTGCATTAGTAGCTGATAAATTAAATTATTATTCATATTATTATTTCGTCAAATAGGCTTTATGCTTTGAAAATGTACAATTTCTGCTTCGACGTAATTATAAAATCTGGTTGACATGTTCTTTAGTATATTAACTGTAATACTGAATGGATCCTTGAATAATTTGATTTTAAGTCATAGAAAAGTCCTTGAAAATTTTTATTTATTTTATTTTTTTTTGAAAATTGAGTGGGAACCCTGTTTAGGACAGTGAAACCCATGTGTCATGTCCAAAACCTTGTATTTTAGTTCTAAGAAATGCTTAATTCTGTCAGGATGTCTTCTGTTAAAGAAGATAAAAGTAAAGCACGATTTGTTATATGCATTTTCACAAATTCAACTTTTAAGAAAAATACTTTTGAAAAAGCAAAATCTCTGCCTCTTAAAATTTTGTTTTTATCCACGTCAACAAACAATAAATTATGCATTTCCTCTATTAGTCCTTTACAGGAAGACAAAATTCAAACATTTAATCTAACAAACCTTTTCTTTTTTTTTTGAAAAATTTTTTTTCCAAATGAAATTCTTTTCTGTATGGACTAGTCGAAAATTTTTTAAGTAAAATAGCTGTAAATGCTACTGTTAAATGCATGTTTTTATTAAATTCAAGTTAAAATTTAACGTTGGACAATATTTTTAAATTTGGATGCAATTTTTAAGATTATTAAGAGAATTTTTAAGAGACATAAATGATTTTTATTTGTGGGAACTATTTTTGAAGATATCCTCTTACTTTACTTCTTAATTTTCACAAATAATGTCTAAATTTTCACAGAATCGATACCTCTCAAAAAAACCTAGACAGGCATCTGATTTTAATTTCTTCCCTTGTTTCAGTGCTGAATGGAATGCCTATTTATATGGGATGATCCTTTTAAAACGATGGACTTTCTAGAATTTGTTCTTGTCTCCAATTATTGTATGACAGAATAGAAATAGACAAGAATGATTAAAAATAGGAGAGTAACAAATTTTGAGTAAAATGGAACAAAAATCTAAGATGTGAAAATTTTATGCTCCTGCATACATGCACAGGATGAAAACATTTTGTACATAAATTAACGCAATGCTATCTTAATTGAAATTTTTTTATTTGAATGAAGAAAGAAAAAACACAGGTTTAAAACTAATCACACTTAGCGATGCATTTCATACCTTCGTGCTATAAACATGATCGTCATACGTCATATAATTGGGTTGGTAACTTAGAGAAGAATAACACTGTTAAAATTTGCATGATTGTGCCTAATCACGTGGTTATGCATGACGTTTTAATGTTATAGCTATTGGACTTGGTAGCTATTTACGTAGCGCATAGAGTTTTTGAAAAGTGCTGAATGGTGCTTATTTTCGATTTTCATTTTTTAAAAGCCTTTAAATGTGTTTATTTCATTTGCGTTTTTTAAAATGTGCTTTATATTCCCTTTTCGAAAATGACATTTTTTTTGCTTTACCATGTCGATATTTCTCACGTATTTTTACAAAAGCATGGTTTTCACATTGTTCTGTTTAACATTTTAGCAATTAATTCATTCATAATCCATTTCGTCGGAGCGTAGCGTATGAAAGCGCCAATCATTTTACGTGTTTGATGAAAAATTATCCGTGTGTGCGTCTACTGAGCTGGCTTTTGTGAGATTCTAGCACTTTCATGTGCAATTCTGCTGCATTTTGCAAGATATTCTCAATTTCAGCATTCGTTTTCCACCCTCTGAATTCCAATTGAAAAATCTCTCGATCTTTTTAGGGTGGCTAATATAATCAAGAAGAAAGTTCTTTGTCAGAAAGTAGTTATTTTATCATGATCGTGAAAAGTCTGAAAATTATTTTTCATTTTATTAAGATATATATAGTGCTTAAAAATATTTTTCAAGAGCTTAAAAAGTGCTTATTTTTTGTTGAAAGAATTGGCTACGCACCCTGTATTTAGGCTTTCAGATCAGATTCAATTGAATACTTGAAAGCACATCACTCGTGTGTGTTGGTGATTTTCCCACACACCGTTTCCTTGAAGGGGTGCAAAATACTAGTGGAATTTTTTTAGAAAAGTAGTGTCAAGTATTCTTGTTCATGATCATTTTTTGCAGCTGTAAACCAATAATTGATCATTTCAGATTTGTCGATGGATGAGCTTGTGGCTCAGTGTGTGCTTTTCTTCATGGCTGGTTATGATACCACAGCTTCCACACTTTCTTTTACCACTTACTTCTTAGCTTTGAATCCAGACGTCCAAGAGAAGGCAAGACGTGAGATACACCAATGCCTGAAAGAAACCAATGTAAATATTCTCTCAGTTTTTAAAACTAGTCTTTCCTTTTACACATTCCTGCCTAATGGTTATATTATAAACAACTATGTCTTCCAGCAAATGTGATCAAATTGCTCATTAATAACATTTTTAAAGTTAAGAGACATTGCCCGTTATTTCCTATACTAACATTTTTCCTAATATGTGAAATTCATAGACTTTTGAGCATAAAAAGAAGAACTTTTTCCAACTTGAAAAGGAATAATTTTTAACTTTTCCTGTTTTTTAAAAAAAAAATTTTAGAATTGAATAATTAGAATAGAAAAATCAGGAGTCTGCTTCAGGAAAAACGGTCGTTTCACAAAATATTTTTAAGAGAGCAAGCTCTAAAATTCTCCCCCCCCCCCCTGCCTCGCAAATTTTTGTAGTCGTATCCCCATAAATGAAATGCTGTCCCCTTGTAATGTTTACAGGAAGTCGAAATTCAAACTATTATTTTAAAAAATTTTCTAAATTTATTCCAATAGACCTTTTTTTTTTTTTTTTTTCTTCTCTGTGAAACTTTTTTTCTTCTGTATGATCCAGTCGAAAATGTTCTCAAAATGAAGATAACTTTTAGTGTTGTTAAATGTATGTTTTTGTTAAATTTAGAACCCCTTTATGTCATTTTTACTTTCAACGTATTTCGTATTATCTCGAGAATTTTTTTAGCGAAATGAAAAATTTTTGCACATAAATGTAGAATTTGTTTATCAGAAAATAATTCAGTGTGATAAAAATATATTTTAGCAATTGATTTTTTTTTATTATTATTATTTCATTATATAAAAGAAATAATTGTATGAATAATAGTTTTGAATGTATTAATCGAAAAGTATATAAACTTTTACATTGTTTGAAGGAATGTAGTTTTAAATGTAAAAATACATAATTTGTGTGCAGCCGGTTGAATATAAATGAAAATTTACGAAAATTTGTGTATTTAAATTGATTGTGGTGAGCCGTTAAGATGGAGTGAAAAACTTATCGAGCGATTGAAAGTAATTCCCCAGCTTCAAATTAAATGTTATTGAAGTTCTAGTAGTAAGCGATGATGCGGCGAAACCATTCTTATAGCCGATATACAGGGTATGTGCACTCCTGGAAAGTCATGAATTTCCGTTTTAAACAAAATTTGTCATAAAATGTCATGATTTTAACTATATTTTTTTTTTTAAAAAATCATGGAAAGTCTTGAATTTAGGTCGCCCAAATGTCTAATTTTTATAATGGAAACTCCCCCCCCCCCCAATTTCATGGTGTACCAAATATCTGAATAAGTAACAAAATCCCCACTCACAGTCATATTTTATTAAAATATAAAATGTTTTTATCATGTTCTTTAAAAATTATGGTGTTCTTTCAGAAAATGAAAGAAAAAGCATCATTTCTCAAGCGAATTATCTTTATCTTCTGTGTCTTCAGAATTTTTATTGTTTTTATTTTATAAATTTAAAATTCTAATTGAAGCAAGCCAGTCATTGGCGAATTTTTTTAATTCCGAAATGAGGACAGAAAAATCAGGTGTATTTCTTCCCTTTCCGATAAACAAGAAAAGTATGTTTAGAATATAATTCTACAAAAAAAAGAAGAAAAAATTATTTTCTTTTGTATTTTTTTCAGCTATTTTATTGCTTCAACTATTTCTTTACTCTGTTTTTTAAATTTAATATCTAGGAATATGAAGATACAGTGTATAACAGTTTTGGTTATACCTATCTATCATTTGGACATACCTATCATTTGTTGCAGATACCCTGTAATACATGCGATCCTTAATTTATAATAAGTCTCTGTTTATTGTTGAACTTCCAGTAATCTCTTTACTCTGTCGTTGGAATAATCTAAGCCAGTGTTTCCCAACCTTTTTCGTACCATGCCCCACCTAAGCCTTTCTAAAATTCTTATGCCCCCCCTATGTAACATATACATAATTTTTAATATTAAAAAATCGAATTGTTCACTTAAGAAACTTAGGAAATTGTTAGCGAAACAAAATAAATTTTCAGATTATATAATGAAAAACTAAAATTCAAATTCGAAATAATTTAATTAAAGATTTTTCTATAATAATTTAATATTTTAATTTAGTGAGATTCTTGCTCTTGATTGATGCTTGCTGCACGTAGATTTTATCTTAGGTTCCACATTGGTTATCAGTCTCAAGTCTCCCCGTTGTGTTATATCCAGACGATTTCTTTTTTTTACCAATGAAATCATTTACAGCACTAAATCCACATTCAGCTAAATATGAAGATGGAATCGGTAACAATAGTTTTCTTGCACATTTGATTGAATTTGGGTATTTGTTTTTTGTTTCCTCACGAAGCCATGACATCACTCATTTCATATTAAATAAAGTTTTAACTGACTAATCATTTTCCATTTCTGCAAGTTCTTGATATATCAGACAAATCCACTAACATGGACTGCAACATCCATGTTGGAAAATAAATTTGTTTTAAATCAGAATATCTTTCTCTTAAATCAGCCGATAGAATTTTCAGATGATAGACAATAACAAGTAAAGCGGTATCATTTACTTCACATTTTTGGAGCCAATGAAACTGTTCAAAGTTTTTGTTGTTAATATATTTCTGACATAACTCAATAAGGGTAATGAAGCCAAATATCTTCGCTTTTGCATCAACAAGAGTTTTATTTGTTCCTTGAAGCTTCTTATTTAATATATTCAGTTTTTCAAAGATATTGGCTAAATAACTCACAAATGCTTTACCATCGACTGTAAACAGATACTTCATTTCAGGTTTGTCGCTTAAAAAATCCCTAAGTCACATAATATTTATTGACCGCAATTATTTAAGAATTTGCTTTTTTCCTTCGATTTTGTCACCGAAATCTTGCATAGTATTTAAATGGCCCAGAGCAAAAGGTTTAAACTCATGTCGAGTCCATTTTTGAATTGCCCCCCTTAACAATCAAATTGCTCCCCGGTGGGGCGTGGGCCCCACGGTGGGAAACACTGATCTAAGCTATTCCAACAGAATCCATAATTTTAAATGAATCAATTTAATTTATTTAATTCATATCTCTTTTCAAACAGGGAGAACTGACATATGATGCTATACAGAACATGAAGTATCTTGACAATGTTATATCTGAGACATTGCGTCATTGCCCTCCAGCATCGAGGTTATTTTATTCTTTCATTATTATCATGAATATGACTGCGCAAAGAATCTACTTTAATATTAACATGTTGCGTAGCGTTTTTAAAAAGCGCTTTGAGGTGCTTATTTTCGATATTCGTTTTTAAAAGCCCTGAAAGGTGCTTTTTTCATTCGCTGTTTTTAAAAAGTGCTTAATGTTCCATTCCCGAAAAGGAAATTTTTTTCTCTCCCATGTCTATTTTCGCCATGTAATTTGCAAAAGCATGCTTTTAGCATTGTCCTATTCAACGTTTTTACAATTCATTCAACCACAATCCATTTCGGCTTACCGTCAGTCCATAGTGTATGAAAGTGCCAATCATTTTACAAGTTTGATTAAATACTTGGAAGTCCGCATGTGCGCCTACTGAGCTGGGTTTGGTGAGATTATTGCACTCTTATGTGCAACTCTGCTGCATTTTGCAAGATGTTCTCAATTTTGGACTTCATTTTCCACCCTCCGGTATCGAACCGAGAAATCTCTCGAGCATTTTATAATGGCTAATATAATAAAGAGTTCTTTGTCAGAAGCTAGTTATTTTATTACGATCATATAAAGTCTTTGAAAGTTATTTTGCATTTTGTTACTGTATATAGTGCTTAAAAATACTTTTTGAGTGCTTAAAAGGTGCTTATTTTTTGTTGAAAGATTTGGCTACGCACCCTGATTAAAGTTGTTTTATTCTTTTATTACTATTATTATTTATATAATCATCAATATGACTAAACAATGAATCTACATTAATAATCCTTAATTAATATTTAAACTACATTCAGTGGCGTGACAGCCCATTGAGGGCCAAGGCCTACTGTTCCCATCTCAGTTTTCTTGACCTTGGACTCAGGGGTGCAGGAACAGATGTTCCGGTCAGGTTGTCAGCTAAACGCGGAACCCCCAGTGTTTAGTTCCCAAGCATGCTTGGTACTCATTTATCGACTGAGGGGATCAGAGGCTGAGTCAACCTTGTCCAGCTCGAGGATCGAAACCAGGACCTGTGGCATGGGAGCGCAAAGTGCTATCACTCCGCCACCGGGCGTCTTTAATTAATACTAAGGTTCTTTTATCCTTTCATTATTAATATTATTTATATAATCATCATTATTACTTTAATATTGTCCTATGTCGAGGTGGCTGTTCATTTTTTATGGATTCCTTGCCCTTCTTACAAGAAAAAAATATATTTTATCGGGAGTACAAATTATTTCGTTCCGTTCTTTTGTGATCAACAAATGCATTTATTTCAAAACAAAATGAATGAACAGATTAATCAAAGAATTGTCCATCGCTGGCTACTACTTTTCCCACTTCCCATGCAATTTTCAAATTCCATCTTCGAAAAAATGTCTCGTCTTTTGAGGCGATCCAAGTTAGAAGCGAATTTTCAAATTCTGTGAAAGAAGTGAACCAGTGACAGTGCCAAATCTTGCTGCATCCATTGGAACAACCAGTAATCAAAAGGAGCAATGTCCAGCAAATACAAAATTTTACATATAAAAAGTAAAAAACTGGGTTTTTGTATGAAACTCAAATCGATATAAACTGAATATTATTGACAGATGTTTAACTTCTCTAAAACCAGCTGTCGCTATGAAACATTCATTACAGCCAGAGCCATCTTTTAAAAACGGACCGAACTAATTTGTACTCCCAATAACATTTGGGGAAAAACCATTTATCTTGTTTCTAAGCAATGCAGTCAAACTCGACCTGATTTAAATTAGAAATACTAAATTGGTACAAGTCTGTTGCTCGCTTTTTTAATTCCTACTTCATTCCTCCTCTCTGACTATTGGAAAAATTCTGGAGCTTCATTCTTCAAATGGAAATGTGTGACCTTCTGCCATTCTAAGCATTTCTGGAAACTAGCCATCTTTGGGTTTCGGTTTTTCACTAGTTTTTTTTTTTTTTTTTTTTTGTTTTTTTTTTTTTTTTNTTTTTTTTTTTTTTTTTTTTTGGATATTTTTTTGTACTTAACAAACTCTTCATGATTATTCAATGCTTTTCCAAAAAAAGTTGGAAAATTAAAAAATAATCATTCATGCAAAACAGTTGATTGATTGATATAAATTTTGGCGTAAGAACCATATTTTGACTGTCCCTAAAGCCAGATAAAAATCCAAATAATTTGATTAAAATTCAGGTAACTTGGTTAAAATTAAAATAAACCTTTTTATGTTTTGGAAAAATCAGAAATTGATTATTGAATTATAAGAAATGGTGGTAACTGATAGGTTATAGCGATAATATTTCCATTGAAAAACGTTGTTACATTAGAAATAAAGAAAATTTTCAAGAAATGTGGGCTAAAATATATAGTAATTATTATTCACTCGTATGTGTTATTTGAATACTGCAATGACAGGATGGGAAACAAAATTGTCTTTCGGGGCACATTATAAGAGAATTTTTTCCTTTAAAATTCTAACTGACCTTACTAAATATTTGTATAACAGCCACCATTTATTTCCACTGTAGTAATTTTATTATTTTTACCACTCTTTTTTTAATTTATTGTTATTTTTTACCCAATACAGTCGAACCTCGTTAAAGCGATATTGGCGGAACTATTGTAATTATTTATGTTAATCAGATCTTATCCGATAATCCATTATAAAAATAATTTATTTCGTACTATTAATACATAATATGAACCAAAAAAATTAAAATAAGCTTAAAAGTTTTAACTACTTTAATAAACTATTTTAACTCTTTTACTTATTTGCCCCTCTTCTACTTCTAACAAAGAAAGAAACATTTTATTCACATTCTTCTCATCTGTGTTGTGACCAGTTTCGATAATTTCATGTTAAACATGAAGCAATAATTGGTTGCTAACTCATGGGACCCAATGTGTTTCATGTAAAGCAATATTTTACATTAAGCCATTTCGCTTTAATGTGGTTCGACTGTATAATAATAATTTTACTAAAATATAATATTTTCCTTCCACAGTTTCACTTATTGGCCACATTATGAGGCGCACTATAAGATGTAATATTATAATTACCAGGAGATACTATACAGCTGTATTGTTTTTACTCGGATGAAACCAGTTTGCATTTGTTTACGTTCGTGTATCAATGGGTTAACATTGTAATGCAGTACGTTAAAAATAAATACAAATAGGAAGTATATATTAAAAACCCATGACGTGTATGTTTAAATATAAAAGTATTGCCTATAAACTCGTGCGAAACGTGTCATTATTAAAACACTAGATTGCATCTAATCATTTGATCTAATTATTATAATATACTAATATGATTCCTGATATAATAAATATTTCATATTTATATAATATATCGTCTCATTTAACGCATTACTACACGAACATAAACAAGTGTAAGCTGGTTTCAGTCACATAAAAACAATAAAGCTGTATAGTGTCACCTGATAATTAAGTGTGTGTCTAATAGAGAAGTGTCTTAGAGTGTGTCTAATAATTCGGCCAGGGACCGTGTATGAAGTAAATGAATTCTGTACCGATAAAAGGGTTAAAATAACTTTGTTTATCTAAAAAATTACAGACTAGAAAGAAAGGCTGAGACAGATTATGAATTGGGCAATACTGGAATAACACTGAAAAAAGGAATGATGGTTACTGTCCCTATTTATGCAATGCACAAAGATCCTCAAAATTTTCCAGATCCTGAAAAATTTGATCCGGATAGGTGAGTCTGAATTTAAGCAAAATGATTGTCTTGTTGTTGTTACAACTGAAGTGATGCTGTCTTTCCTTAGTAAGCCCCCTGGCGGCGGCATTGTCGCAGAATGTTACACAGTTCTTGCAGAAAGATTTTTCTTTTGAAAAGTTTTTTTTAAAAAAATTGCTTTTCTTTTCTGCAGGAATTTACACGTAATATTTGAATCATGCATTTAGATAATCACTTTTTGACGCTCTCAATTTATGCTGATAGTATTGTAAATGGATGTAATGTTTCAATTTTATTATCGGCAGTTATGGATATTGATTTTCACGAGGATTTTAAATATCCCGATATATTTTGAACAATATGGAAAATTCGAATAGTGCATTTGAGTATTTACTTTTTAGAGCAATAATTCTATCAAAGTTTTGACAGTTGTTATTGATTTCTCCATAGTTTTAAAATCCGGTATTTTTTTATGCGATATAATTTATGACAACAATGTAATCTCGAAATGAAACACGCATGTGAGGAGCGTGATTCACGTTATTTCGTCTGCGATCTTTTTTTTTCCGGCAATTACTGCTATGAATTTCATGATTTTTAATTATATTTGTTATTATAATAATTATTTACAAAATGCGAAGAAAGAAGTAATTTTTATCACACACCCCCCCCCCCACACACACACACACACAAAATGCAAGAATATGACCCATGATATTAGATTAAAAAATATTACATATTCAATTAAAAGAATTATTTATAGTTTTTTTGTTTTAACTAATACTCCATAATTGATAATTGATATTTAGATCCATAAGACTCGTTAGGAAATTTAGAAAGCAGAATAATCAAATGCTATGTTTGTTTTCTTAAACATGCATTTTGATTCAGAAGGAAAAGTTTCAGCATTTTTATTTTAGTTCATTTATCTTATTTGTTATTTCTGCTCAATTGTGAGTAATACCCGGCTCATCGAGTAGTTTATTCTTTTTTTTTCGTGAAATGATTTTTTTTAAGATGATAATACAGGCGATAAGCATTTCAAAAAATGATTCATAAGTGCATGGAAGTCATTATTCTTCAAAGTCTAATAAGAGTGTGTATAGCAAAATAAAATCATGTTACAAAACAAAAAGGTGTCAAATACTTAATAATAACTGGTGGAATGAGGCTACTTTTAGCCATAAAAATTGATGTTTACTTGCCTTCGATCAAATCAACCTTTTTCTTTTACATACATTTTCTTAGCAGCATTTTATGTTCTAAAGTTCTTAATTTTTTAAATGTTATAAGAAATTATTTAATTTACTTTAACACAAACACAGCGTTTTCATAACCTAACTTTAGAGAGAATTGGACACTTTTATAAGCAAATTTAGTCTTTGCTACTTTATTCATTATTATTTTTAATCTAAGTTCATACTATATGAAATTATATGCTATGTATTGTGCAAAGATAGTCATCGACCGAGAAAAACAATTTTCTTGCTTTCAAAAAGATGAAGTTTCACAGATAATGAGTTTTGCTAATTTTTCTCTGTTGCGAAATTAAAATCTAGTCAATGAAAGAGTTCTTAAGCAACATAACAATAAACCACACTTCAAAAATATTCATCAAAGTGTTTTTTTGATCATTCAACGATCTCTGTATGGGAAATAAGATATTTCTGTGCATGATTGCAGGTTTACAGCGGAGGAGAGGGCCAAACGGAATCCCTATGTGTACATGCCTTTTGGTGCTGGACCCAGGAACTGTGTCGGTATGAGATTTGCACTCTTGGAAGTCAAAGTTTGCCTCATCCACGTTATCACTCACTTTAACATCAAAACTTGTCCCAAAACAACGGTAAGGTGTTCTCTTCATCTGTTTTACATTCAAAATGTTGATTTTTTTATAAAATAAATATGGAATTTTTTCTAATATTCTAAACGCATGTTTCTTAAATTGTTTCATTTTAGAAATTTCAATCTTTTAGAAATGATTTGTAAGAAATGCCCTACATTATAAATATTAATTACCAATTTGTTAATGCAGAAAATCAACACATTTGTTTATTTTATTAATAAATACTAGGAACTGTAACAAAACATAATACACACGTTTTAAGTTGAAATTTCACTTTTTTTAATGTGTAAAAACATTCAGCTTACTATTCTGAGTAGTCTCGGACAAATGAAAAAAAGTTAAATATTAGTCTTTGTATGATAGTTTTTAAAACAATTGACAACACAAAATGATACTTTCCAAATGCCTGCTGAAATGATATGCCATTTTTTTTTAACTCTTTATTTTTCTATACAATTCTTGTTTTATTCTTGCTTTAAAATCGTAAACGCATTTTTTTGCAAATGAATAATCTTGAAAAGCAAAGTTTTCAAAACTGTTAAGTCTTTTGCATTTTTGAAGAATTTTTTTTTATCCCATTAAAAATTTTAGATTTTTTTTTTACTTATTCAATTTTCCCCCTCTAGAGTCGCGTGTATTACATTCATTCAAAATTGAAATGCAAATATTCTTCGAGATGAAAATTATATTTTAAGAAGCCACGTCATTATTTTTACTCTATAAATTTAATTTTCAAGAATCTCTGAACGAAATTAATTAAGTTTAATGATAATCATTTTTATAGGGTGGAATTTTTCTGTAAAAATATTTTGTATATAAAACATACTCAGGGTTGCCACTCCACAGGGAAAACCTGGAAAATACAGGGAATTTGAAAATAACCAAAATAACAGGGAAAGTGCAGGGAATTTTGATTTTGTCTTTTAAGAGATGGTGACCACTCAAAACACCTAATCTATTGGATATTTAACCATGATATTTCAGCTATACTAAACTATTTATTTACTACTATCAGCTATTTACTACATCATCATTTAAGTATGTTCAGCTGTTTTTCCAGCAATTAAAACTAATAAATATATAGTTAGCCCACTATAGCTCACATAAGAGCACAGTAATTGCTGTGTTTCCTTTTAATATATTGTGTATACTATGTACATGGAAAACATAGGGAATTTTTTTTCCAGATTTGAGTTGCAACCCTGATACTCATTTAACTATATTATTTCGTTGCCATACCAGCACTGAATTTTTTTAAATTCAAAGATATATACTTATATATCTTATATTTATTACGGATGAGTAGGACAAGTTATTATGTTGTGTGTATATTCTTAGCAATTTACTTTTTCATTTTTCACTACTCCTAACTATACTTCAGTGATTACTTGCCTAGAAATTTCTGCCAAGGTATGTTCTTTACGCTGAAAGTTTTGTATCACTGATAGTCTAATTCTATTCATTGTATCTGTGCACCTGGAAAGTCATGGAATCATTCTGGCAGAGAAGAGAAAATAATGTAACAAGCTGTCTCTAAACTTGAAATATAAATTTGTATCTGGAAAGATACTTTTCTGAATCAGAAAGTGGAAATAGTTTGATTGAAACTATGGATGTTCTTCCCATAAACATTTAAATTTTTTCAGCCCTCACTTTTAGAATAAATGTTTTTTTGGGGGGGCTGGGTGCTGGACTCGCGTTCAAGAACCCGTCGAATCCAGCCGGCCGAAGACTCCCCGTGGAATAAATGGTACCTGGTGCATGTTAAATCTGACGGGTCACAAAGTCCTCCATGTTCCCATAATATTAGAAGAAAAATTTAAAAATATCTCTAGGGGTACTGAATTGGAGATGTGCCGTTCTCCTTTGAGGTCCAAATTACGATCTGTATGGCATAGATGGCACCACTGGAAAACAAGAACAATCGTAGCCCCTCTGCCTTAATGGCCGGTGACAAAAACTAGAAAAAGTGAATAATGAAAAAAAAAAATTTATATCTACATCCTACTTACCGTAATCAAATAATATCTATAATTGTTGTCCCCCAAAACTGTATACTGGGGAAAAGTAAGGTGTTATAGTTTCCTGGCCCCAGCACTTTGTTGTTATTTAAAGTTTGATAAAAGCATTTTTTGTGAGACGAAATTTCAACTTTTATCAGCATTCTCTTTTAATCTTTAGATACCTTTGAAGTTTTATCCTGGAGTTGCCCTGCTGCAACCTAAAGACATCTTCCTTCAAATGGAACCAAGAAGTGACTCTCCAATCAATTAATTCTGCAGAACATATTTAAGAAAAATTTGTATCCACAGTTTGTCAAAAAAAAACATTTCATGTTAAATCTATTTCTATCAATAAACTTGTAAAGCATCACTTTGATTATGTTTTAAGCATTGGTTCTGTCTCCAAAGTGTGCCATATTGATACCATAGCTGCCAACTCCACTGGCCAGTTTCTCCTGGTTTAATAAATATTCTCCTGGTTTTTATACCGTTTAGAAAATTCCATAAAATGTAAATTCCCTAAGAATGAAATAGAATTTTTGCATAGGTTATGGCTTGCTTGAATATTTAAATAAGTACTACGAATACATAATGAAGTGAGCCTCATTTATAGAAATGAATTTAAAACTTTTTTTATTCTAAAATGTTCAGTTTATTCGCAACTTCCTTCTTAAGTGAATTAATAATTTTCTAACTATCTTTGATGAATTAAATGCTTATTAGTATTGGAAATTATGAGTAAACATAATGTTTGCCATTTCAAGTTTGTTTAATGTCAATCATAATTGAAAAATATTACAGTTTTTCTATTTTAACGACTCTGAAATTCCCTATGTGTAAAATATTTAGTTCATTATGCAACAATTATCATGAAATTTATATTATTTTGTAAAATCTCCTGGATTTTTTCCCATCATTGTTGGAAGCACTCTTTTCAACTCTTTGCTTATTGTTCCCTTTGTGGTCAGATCCTGGAAAATATCATAATAGCATTGAACATGTTTTTTGAATGCTTTCAAAGTAAAAAAATAATTCCATCTAGATTCCTGAGATATTTAATGAAAATTCTTTTCAAATATCATTATTACTTTTATGGATTTTATTTATGGTAGGTACTTTATTCATGTCGCACTAGAACTTCACAATGGGCTATTGGCGAAGGTCTGGAAAAAATCCCTGACGATGGTCCGAACGCATGCTATCGCAATTTTGATCTTCTGCAGAGGGTTTGGCTCCTCCGCTTCGGTAGCTCGACGACCCGCGTGCGAGCACTTTATACCAGAACAGTCTAATGAGAACTGCGCACCCTCGGCCCTTGAGCAGACTGATGAAAGTGGCCAACCACCCGCTTTTTGACCTCAGTTGGTGATGCTCGTTCTACCGCTTCTTTACGATTGATCCACTGCGGGGATATAGATATTCAGAAAATTTAACGTCTATTATTATATAAAGGAGGAAATGATGTAATGGAGAATCTCTTAAATGTGGTGATACGCATTATCACTTGTATTTGAAAAATAATCAACAGTACCTACTCGTGAACTATAAAATATTTGATACAATCAAAAGTAATAAATGTGAAGTAACAATCTATAGCAATAACCTTATATTATATAACAGTTCAAATTGCAAACGGTTTTTTTATTTCCCCTCAGATTTTTAAAAATATTTCGATATAAATGTTATGACTTATATCTGGTAAATTCTAATCTCTCTTTAATTTATGACATCAAAACAAGTCCAAGCTTATAAAATGAAAATCTTGTGATTGATTAGTTTTTCTGCAGCTATGGATAAAGAATCGTTATTTAAAACGAATAACATGAAAAGAAATTCACACACTTAAAATTGCAATATTTTTGGAAAAAATTGGAATTAGGAAGAAGAAAAAAAGTGCTTTAAAGTGTGTCAAATAATGCAAAAGGTCAATCCATTTTTTTTACACTTCCGTGTAACATTAAGCATGGTGTGTAGCGTTTTTAAAAAGTGCTTAAAGGTGCTTATTTTCGTTTTATGAAAGCCCTTAAAGGTGCTTTTTTCTTTAGGTGTTTTTAAAAAGTGCTTAATTTTCCCTTTTCGCAACCTGTTAAATTAAGCCTACTATAGACATTCGCTAAATATTTTTCTTTAAAAAGATTATTTAGCAATAATGCAAATTTTCAACAGCTATTTTATGACAATTATTTTAATTCTATTCATTGAGTAAATGTAGTTTTACATAAGATTAATTTTAAAAGTGAATATAACTCATTTTTATTTACTAAAAATGTAACAAAAAAAAATCTGAAATGACTGTATAAATTTAGTAAGTATAAACAGCACGATAATGGAAAAAAAGATGTAGCTGATAATAACTCAATAAAGAAGAACATATTAAAAAATATCGTTAAAAATTAGACGCCATAACTTTTATTACATGTAAACTAATGGCCTTTTAAGATTTCATATGAATTTTTTTTAAAAAAAACTTATATGCTATTATAAAACTTATTATTAACTGGCTAAAAGTATCCTGACACCTTGTGCATCTTGAAACACATATTAATATGATACTGAGCCCACCTCCTTTACATTGTGTCCCTTTTTGCTGAGCTCATCTCCTTTACAGGGTGTCCCCTTTTGCTGAACCCACCTCCTTTACAGGGTGTCCTCCTTTTGCTGAGCCCACCTCCTTTACAGGGTGTTTCCCCCTTTTGCTGAGACCACCTTCTTTACAGGGTGTCCCCCTTTTACTGAGCCCACATCCTTTACAGGGTGTCCCCCTTTTGCATGGCCTATTTATGAATTTCGGTAATTTTGAATGAAATGTCACGATTTTAACTATTTTTTAAAAAAATCATGGAAAGTCATGCATTTTGATCGCCAAAAATCTTATTTTTAAAATGGAACCCCCCCCCCTTCCCCATTTCATGGTTCAACATCTGAATTTGTAACAAAATCCCCTCTCACAGTCATATTTTATTAAAATATAAAATGTTTTTATCTTGTTCTATAAAAATTATGGTATTATTTAAAAAAATGAAAGGAAAAGCATAATTTCTAGAGCGAATTATCTTTTGAACTGTGATTTTGAATTTTTTTTTTTATTCCGAAATGAGAACAGAAAAATTAGGAGTATTTCTTTCTCTTCTGATAAACAAGAAAAGTATCTGTAAAATGTAATTCTTTAGGAAAAAAGAAGAAAAAATTTTTTGCTTTTGTATTTTTTTCAGCTCTTTTATTGCTTCAACTCTTTCTTAACTCTGTTTTTTAAATTTAAAATCTGCTGTTTAACTGACAAATCAAACGCACTTCAGCAATGCAGTAAGAACGGCACATTAAAACAAAACTCCTCAATTAAGCTCAATTTGCGCTTTTGTTTTCCTATTTTGCAATATTGCAATCTTGTTACGAAAATATATTTTAAATCATTCTTGAAAAATTTCCCGTTCATGTGAATTGGCTATTCGCTTTATAGATGAAACTTATATTTCATCTATATTTTACTCTGTTTTTTCTATTTATTTTCTCTGTTTTTACGTGTTATTTTTACTTTTCGTGTTCTATTTTATTTGTTTAATATTTTTTTGAGTGCTCCTCACACTATTGTATTATATTATTGTATGTATATTTTGCTTTGGCTATATTGATACAATAACAGAAAGCACTCTTTTTTGCGGATATAATCTTGTGGGCTGATGAAAAGATCATATCTTTTATTTTCCGGTTTTTTAAAAAAAAATTTATCCTTTTTTTTCTTATCCCCCCAGTTGTTTGTTATTTTTTTTATCCCCCCCTTTTTTTACCTTCATATGTCTGTAATTTTCCTTTGTTTTATCTGCATTTTGAACATATATATATATATATATATATATATATATGCGAAAATGCATCTGTTTTCAATTTTTTTCTTGCAAATGGCAATATATGGAGAGATTGAAATGCATATCCACTTATTTCGGTAATTGCGTGGGTGTATATTTCTGAACGGTTTGTTGTTCAAAAGTTGTCTGGTTGTTGGTTAGGAATATCGACTATTCTATCAGGAGTATTATTTTCGTTCTAAAATAATATTGCTTCTCTAAATTGGTTCGAAAGAAGTATCCTGGTATATCCTTACATAATAGCTCAGTGATGAATCGGTTTGTCAACAACTGAATTGGAAGCGGACAAAAGAACAGCTGCCTAGATCTTTATGTTTGTCGATGAAAAACTGGAAGAAGTTTCTGAGCTGGTCAACAAAAGACAAAAAGTCAACAAAAAGCACTAAAAAGGGCTATAGAGTGTAGGGACATAGCTAATTTACCGAAGAATGCAGTTTGAGCATTTATTGCAAAACATAAAGTTTATCTTTTAAAAAATGGTAAAACGGACACGTTTTGTTATTCGTTAAGGAGGACGACAGTACGAACATTCCTAACATCTAACGTGTGTTTCTAAAAATATGGAAAAATTATCACACTTTGGAATTGATGAATCAGGACCACATTTTCGCAGCACCAACGCAGACTATAACAGTTTTGGTTATACCTATCATTTCAATGAATGTTATTATAATGCTTTGTTAAATTTATTGTTGTTTTTGTCGGAGAAAATAGTAACTTCGTTAAGTTGTGAAAAATCCTTAAAATTAGGCATGATTTGAAAATCTAACCGATACCCTGCATTGAGATTTTTAACCCAAACGATTAATGCTTCTCTGAGGGTCCATTTGTGAGGGAAGGGTATTATTTCCATTGAGGGATTTTGTATAAGGGACAGAAACGACTTGAAAAGGAAAAAGAATTTTCCCCCTTATTATTGTTCAACTATACTCTCATTTACATCATTTTATTGAGCCATTTTCAAAAAATGTCGTTATTTGTTATAGTAATATAAAAACTGCCTATACACAGTAAATATAAAGATAAAACAACCTACTAGATGTGAAAATAGTGTTTGCACTGCAAAATTAGTGAAATTCAGTTAATATTCATTGAGAATTTACTTAATGAATATCAGGGTTCGTATCTTGTCAAAGTTATTGAATTTTCTAAAGATATAATTTATAGATTAAGTTTATATATTATGATTATATTAGAATTTAATTAGATTTTAAAAATTATTTTCTGAGTTGCTCAGTCAAATGCATAAATTTAAACTCACATTTTTTTTCATATTAAATAACAAAAAAAAAGTTTAAAGAGAGAAGTTTTGAAGGTAAAACACATTGAAAAATTAATTAAATTATTTTTGACTTTTTTAAAGTTGTGATAGTTATTTATCATCCTTTCATAATGATATTTTATACTGTAATTATGAGTTGGTTTCAACTATTGTTCTAAATGAAAGGCTTAAAACTAAAAATGGATTTCTTTTCTTACATAAAGTAATCTTGTAACATAACACTATTATGTAACTTTTATGAAAAACATATTGAAAACGGTAGTAACTTAATCATTGAAAAGTTATTAAACAGTAAATAAGTTATATTTATTTATATAATAAGCTCAAAATGAAACATGTCCCAGTCAAAATTTGCATTAACGTTTTCATAACTGTTATTATGAATTAACTTTACACGACAATACTAAACACTCTGGGGAAAAACATTTAAATAAGTAAACGAAAGTTGAATAGAATTTTTAAAAAATATTGCAATGGTAACCAAGCTAAAACTCGAATTGAATATTTGGGATCTTTTAATTAAATAATTTTAAATTTTTATGTAAAAATCTGTTTGTCGCTGAAAAATAAAAATACTAACCTTACAATCTTAAATCTCCCCCGAAAATGCTTTCATTTCAACGAAACAAAGTGACAAATAGTACTCAAAATTTAACTTTCATGTTAGAAACGAATCATGTAATATTCTGTAAATCCTAAAGAAACAAACAACTCAGGATTTTTCATCAAATTTATTTATTACATATTTATAAATTACTCAGCCAGTCGCCAACCCTTGTAATTGCTTCTCTTTCATCATTGTTTTTTACTCCTTAAACACTGATATTTTCCACACACAAAATAGGCAGAATATTTTCTTTTCAAAATATACAATCATTGTAGAACATTTTGTTGACATGTTAATCGTAACAATTATCTTAGTTTGAAACGTAAACATCTGAACTTGTAGAAATTATGATTTTTTTTTTTTTTTGGAAAGTGATTATAAATATTTTTAGTGCTTAAAAAATACTTAAAGGGTTCATATTTTTTGCTGAAAGATCTGTCTACTGTAATTGACCAAACATTTATGCCTATTTTCTTATTACGATCCAAAAGACAGCAATTCTAGTATACTTCCTAACCAAAGTGACCAGTAATGCCTCTGTGACAATCTATAAATACCATTCTTCTTCATTGGTGAGAGCTTTAGATGTAGAACGCCATCGAGAGGGACCCTCCTTATTTGAATAGAGATATTGTACAGTTGATTTTTATTTGTAAAAAAATATGGGGCTGCATTTGTCCACCCTCTAGCCAAATTATTCTATGCAAACTCTTGATTATCAGGTCATACTATACAGCTTTATTGCTTTCACGCAGATGAAACTGGTTTGCATTTGTTAACGCTCCTGTATCCAATGGTTAACATTGTAACGCAATACTTTAAAAATAAATACAAATAGGAAGTATATAAAAAATCTCCCGAATAAAAACTCATTGTATGCTTAAATATAAAAGTATTGCCTATAAACTCGTGCAAAACATGTCATTATTATAACACTTCAGTGCGTCTCATAATTTGATCTCATTATTATAATATACTAATATAATACCTGATATAATAAATGTTCTATATTTATCTAATATATCGTCGAATTTATGTAACACATCGTCTCATTTAACCAATGGATACACGAACGTAAACAAGTTCACTTAAAAGCTGTATCACTTGATAATTAAAAGTTTACGTAGAATCTTACAGCGCGTCTAATAATTTGGCAAGGGCATTCGCAACTCGATGGATTGTCTGCTTCAGTCATTTGACGATGTTACATGAATTGGAGAGTTCTGAAATGTTGGCACTCTCCTGATTCAAATCATTCTTTTTGGCTTCCCCGGATTTGTTTCTCGTCAAACTGGTCGTAATGCTAGTCACGGTGACAACCTTGCCTTTAGTGACAGTAGTTTCTTCAGTGACAACAGTTGTTGAAACATTCCCTTTGGACGTTTCAACGCACAACGTGTTATCAATAACAATGTCTTCTTGCTTATCCACTGGAATGTTCTTTTTTATGGAAAGATTCTTTTCTGCATCTTCTGTTGGAATATCATTACGAGTTGGAATGTTATTATCGTTGGACGATGTTACCTCTTGAATCTTTTTCACCTGTTTCGTTAGGGGAGCTTTTGAATATTGTTTCGGGGGTTTGTGCCTTTTTTCGGGCTTCGATTTATGAGGAGGTTTAAAAGGGGCGGAACCACTTGACATTTTCGATTCACACTTATCGGCGGGTGTTTTTGTGATTTTTGAACTTTCGCTGGAACTCGTTCTTTGTCTGTGGCGTCTTTTGAAGGCACTGCTCAGAGAATGTCTATAGGTGGGGATAATGTTGCCTTTCGCTGAGTTCTGGAAACCGTCTCCACCATGTCTCAGAATCTCCCACGGAATTTTATGTTCCTGAAGTGGTGAATAGATCTGAAAAAAACGTTGAATCTCTTTCATTCATATTCAGCCATTAATACTAAAGTCAAAATTTTCAGTAATATCTTGGGATCTTTTAATTTTTCATGACATCAAGAAATCAACAATTTACTCATGTATGCAGACTTTTTATTTTAGCTTGATGCGTAGCATTTTTAAAACGTGCTTAAAGGTTAAACGTGCTGCTTATTTTCGATTTTTGTTCTTTAAAAGCCCTTAAAGGTTTAATGAAATACTTGCGAGTACGCATGCGCGTCTACTGAGCTCGGTTCGGTGAGATTATTGCACTCTCGTGTGCATTTTGCAAGGTATTCTCAATTTCGGGCTTCATTTTTCACCCTCTGATATCAAACCGAAAAATCTCTCGATCATTTTATAATGGCTAATAATAATCTAGAAGAGAGTTTTTTGACTGAAACTAGTTATTTTATCATGGTCGTATGTAAAGTCTTTGAAAATTATTTTGCATTTTGTTAATGTATATAGTGCTTAAAAATATTTTTGGGAACTTAAAAGGTACTTCTTTTTTAATGAAAGATTTGGCTACTCACTCTGTTTAAAAATAGGAAAACTTGTAACAGTTTCATTAATACTTAAAATCATAATTTTCAGTAATGTCTCGTCTCGTTATAATTTAATTTTTCGTCAAATGTCTTCAGAAATCAGTTTACTAAAAATAATCATGCATACAGACTTTTAAAGTTTTATTTTAAGAAAATAGGAAAATGTATGAAATCCTTATTAATATCTTGACATTATTTATTTTTGCAGCATTTATTAAAAGCCAAATGCCATTAAGTCAATTTGACAATACAACAAATTGACATCATTTAGACAAACTTTTTATTTCAAAAACTGAGAAATTTTGGAATCCAAAATAAAATGTAAGATGATATTATGAAGAAGAAAAAAAAAGTTTATTTGCAAATGTAACACTTCGTTACTGACACGCGTCACCGACACGGTAAACAGAGTATCTGCGAAGTCATGAGAAATCATGGAAAGTCATGAATTTCGGTATTGAACAAAATTTGTCATGAAATGTCATGATTTTAACTATTTTTTTTTAAAAAAGAAATCATGGATTTAGGTCCCCGAAAAATCTTATTTTTAAAATAGAATTTAACCCCCCTCGCTCCAAATTTATGGTGTTCCGAATGTCTGAATGTGCAATAAAATCCCCACTCACAGCCATATTTTATTAAAATATAAAATGTTTTTATCTTGTTCTTTAAAACTGACGGTGTTCTTTCAAAAAATGAAAGAAAAAACATCATGTCTAGTGTGAATTATCTTTTAAACTTCTGGGATTTCAGAATTTTTGTTTTTATTTTTTCAAATTCAAGCTGAAGCAAGCCAGTCATTCTCAGTCACCAGCCAGAATTTTTTTTAATTCCTAAATGAGAACAGAAAAATCAGGAGTATTTCTTTCCTTTCCAATGAACAAAAAAAAAAGTATTCTTTTGTACAAAAGCAAATATAAAATATTTGCTTTTGTATTTTTTTCAACTATATTATTGCTTCTACTCTGTTTTAAAATCTCTAAATATGAAGATGCAGAGTACAACAGTTTTGGTTCCACCTATCATTTCAATTAATGTTACTATAATGCTTTTTTAAATGTATTGTTGTGTTTTTGTCGGAGAAAATAGTAACTTCGTTATGTCATGAAAAATTCTTGACATTAGTCATGATAATCTAAAATGCACCCTGTATACAACAATTAGTGCGCTTTAAAGTATGAAATCACAATTTGATACTCATGATAAAGTGGTCAAACCTTCTGAGTCTGAGTGGCAACAGAGTGACAGAGGAGAGTGCCTGGGGGTGGAAACTGAGCCGAGAACGTCTGTTTGTTGCTCTTCATCCTCTTCAGTATCTTTGCCAGCACCGACTCTTGTTTTCCTTCACCTAAGACCGAAACATTTCATTTAGTTTGTCTACGGTAAGAACTACCCCTGTCACCAAATCTGCTTCTATGAAAACAAGAATAAGGTTGCTTCCCTTCTTCACTCTAGGGCTAACACAATAGACCGAATGAAAAGATTCTCTCTCCGACCCGATCCAAAACCTGTCCTAGACTACACCCCTACTTAAAATAGTTATACTCTCGTTGCCATAGTCACCGCTACAAGTCCAGACGAGTGGTAAGGGGAGTTCTTACTTTAGACAAACTATATCTTTGTTAAACGAATATTTTTTTTACAGAACCGCCTTAGTTTTTACTTTTCCAACGACACATGAGACTGCCTTTTTAATTTCCTGTGAGCACTTCGCAATGATTGTAGCTTAAACAATATCTGTCAATATTTTTTTAATTTTATTATTATTTTGCGATCTCTTTATGTACAGTGCTAAAAAAACACTCTTAACCGCTTACCTGATTATCCCGAGTTAACTCGGGTACGTATATATTGCAAATATTTATCATCCCGAGTTAACTCGGGCTTAGCAGAATGTGTCGGTACATTTTGTTTCATCACTTTTTAAGTCTGTCGGAAGCAAAAAACATAATCTGCTATGATTAGAAGATTGCCAAGTTTTGTTTGGAAGTTTTGATGTGGGACTGCACACGTGTTTTGTGATATTGTATATACAATGGTTACTGTAGAGCAGTGTTTCCCAAACTTATGACTTTTGTGCACCCTTTCTTAATTTTTTGTAATCCTGTGTACCATCAATAAAAATAAGAATGCATTTTTTACTATAAAAAAATTACACAAAAGTTAAAAATCACAACTGGCTGTTGACACTATTAATTATTATCTATAATTCTTAACTGCTAACTCTGCAAAAAATAGCCAATAGAAAAATACGTATTCGCAAATTTTCATGACTAGCTTTATTTTTAAATCAAAATTTTTGTAATTTTCGTTTGTTTCGTTTTCGCAAAATATTTCGCATAAGAACGCGTACCCCCGCCGAGCTGTTCCCGTACCCCTGGGGGTACGCGTACCACACTTTGGGAAACACTGCTGTAGAGTAAAACCAAATGGCGTATTCCTTCACTGACGTTTGAAAAGTATCATTTTGTGTTGTCCCTTGTTTTCAGATCTATCGTACAAAGACAAATATTTAACTTTTTTTTCATTTGCCAGAAATAACTCAGGATCGTAAACTGATTTTAAATTAAAGGTTTCTTACCTTTAAAAAAAATTCAAATTTCAACCTAAAACTTGTACATTATGTTTTGTTTTAGTTCCTTGTATTTATTAATAAAATAAAAAATATATATAGATTTTTTTTTTCAAAATAATTGACCAGGGAAGTGGTTAATAGTATAGTAGTCATACTTCATTTTACGCCGCTACTCAAAAGACGACGGTCTTGTCTAGGTAACATCCCTGAAGATGACATCACAATTTTGATCTTCTACTGCAGTGCTTCCCAAAGTGTGGTACGCGTACCCCCAGGGGTACGGGAACAGTTTAGTGGGGGTACGCGTTCTTATGCGAAATATCTTGCAACAAACGAAAATTTCGAAAAATTTTATTTAAAAACAAAACTAGCCATGAAAATTTACGATTACATATTTTTCTATTGGCTATTTTTTGCAGAGTTAACAGTTAATAATGAGTGGTGTCAACAGCCAGTTGTGATTTTTAACTTTTGTGCGATTTTTTTATAGTAAAAAATACATTCATTTTTTATTAGTGGTACGCAGCGTTACGAAAAATTTAGAAGGGGTACACAAAAGTCATAAATTTGGGAAACACTGGTCTATGGAAGGGTATAGTTCTCCCGCTTTGATGGCCTGACGATCTGCGCGAAGGCGAACAGTTCAACGAGGGCTCATCCTCTCACTGATTTCGATGATCTTCTGGGAACCGTGTCTTACGACACTATAGAAAAAACAAACAAAGAAAAATACTATAACAGGTTCCATGCAAATCCATTTCAACGTATGCTTCAGAAACAACAGTCGGACGAATAGCTTTTGATCTGGTGTATGGATCTTCAAGTACTAGAACTCCATCCTCGTCAAGGAGTGACTTTATATAGGCTACAGTTCGTTCACCCTTAGAACTCCTCTAAGCGTTCACCAGGAGTTGGCACTTGGCTCCACCCTCTTCAGACGCAGAGCTCATTTCAGGGCGGGCGTAAGAAGCGAAACATCTCCTCGCCTGAAATTGAGACAACCCTTAATGCGCGCCGAACACAAACAGTGAATTCTTTTTCAGTCACTTACTTATCGCTTTATCATCTGCTATTCTATATTTCGTTTTTCTAGCTAATTAAATATATTTTAAATTTAAAAACTGCTGTTTTCCCAGCAAGATGTCTCAAAGAGGAGAGAAATATAAAAAATGGAGCGAAACATCATCCAATTTAATGGTAAAAAATGCAGATAAAGTTAGCGAAATAAATATTTTTGCCATACAATCGCCAAATAGCAATCTTGTTCAGGATTGTTCACATCTTTCTCCCAGTCGCATATAACACGTGATGAAGGCGGTGCCAAGTGCCAATTCCTGGTGAGCGAGCTATAATGAATGAGTGCATCCGATTTATAAATCGGAATCTGATGAAACACACCTTTCTTTTCAGTGGATTTCTTATCCTGCAAAATATGGGGCCACAAAATCTGGGAGATAGGATCTGTCAGAAGAACGGTCGGCCTTTTGAACTCTTTAATATTCATTTTGCGTATCTCGACAACTTTTTAAACGAATCAAAAATTTATACCTAACAACTTTTTTTTTTTTTTTTAATTTGATTTCTCAGGAATTATTCGATCGATTTCGTTGGAAGTTTGTATTACCTATAAATTACTTTCTTTAAGCATGAATAAAAATGTGTACACCTCTCCATTCAAAGTGCTTTCGATAAACGAATGAGTGTGCAAAAAAAAAATGTTTAAAAAGCTCCCGGGATGTGGGGAGGGCCTCCTACATTCAAGGAGGTCCCCTCGTGTTTTGATTCATACATATTTTTACCTTCTCTCTTCTCTTCATTATTCCCTATTCGGATGTCCATCATCTGAAGGTGGGAACAAGTCTGCAAAAATAGATGTTGAGTACAAATCAATATAAAACTGTCCATTACATTAGAGTGCGGATTGAAAAGATGGGTCCGGCTGCAAGAGAAGGGGGGTGTACCTGTGTTAAGAGACTGGAAGCGTCGCCGTGTAATTTAACAATCGCCTCTTCATTGGTCATCAGCATCTGTCTTTCGAATGATGGATGATGATGCTGTCTGTCAGCCACGTAATAGCCTCCTGAAAACAAATTTACTTTTATCAGAGGAATTCGACTAGAAAGCTTCCTTCTCTTTTTTTTTGCACAAAATATCCGTGGATCTAAACACAGTCTATATTTCGTGGCTTTCCAGTGCGGAATTCAGCTACACTTTCGCAATTTCCATGGACCATCAAAAGCCTGTACTCAAAATGCGATGTGTTTATAAAAGGCTTCTGATGAGGGTTAAGTGAATCATCCTATTGGCGTACATTTAGCTGAATTCTGCCCTATAGTCAACAAGGATATGAATTTTTCGCAGCTGGATGACAACCAGAAAACTGCATGCGGCATGATCAGGGTGCGTAGCGTTTTTTAAAAAGTGCTTAAAGGTGCTTATTTTCGTTTTTTAAAAGCCTTTAAAGGTGCTTTTATCATTGGGTGTTTTTAAAAAGTGCTTAATTTTTCATTTTTTTAAATGAGATTTTTCCTTTACTATGTTGATTTTCACTTCGAATTATGCAAAACGACACAGAGTTCACATTTTTCTATTCAACTTTTTCACAATTCGTTCAACCCCAATCTATTTCGGCGTATTGTCAATCCGTAGCGTATGAAAACGCCATTCGTTTTACCCGATTCAAAATTTCATGATTTTTGACAATTATCAAAAACAATGCCAATTTTTTTTTTTTTTTTTTTTTTTTGACATGACGGTTAAAACAAGATAAAACGATCAACTGCTAAAAACTTTCCAACCCTGCTTAATTAATGATATTCTACTAAAGTGCTTAAAAATATTTTTTAAGAGCTTAAAAGGTGCTTATCTTTTATTGAATAACTTGGCTACGCGCCCTGATCATGGACATAGAATTGTCAGAAAATCAATAAAACGGACAGAACGATATTTCGCCTGACTATTGGAGGGGTGGACTTTACAGCTATTTAAGGTTCCAGTCAATTTTTTTGTCACTTATGTATAATGAGGTGAACAATTTAAATACCTTTATAAAGTTCAGTTCATCACTGAAGTAGTAAAGCAGAGGGGGCCCCCAAAGAAGTTTTTGTCCGCGGCCCCAACTAGGTTAAGTCGGGCCCTGACATTTATACATTAATTATTTATCCATTAGTTACGAAAATCACTCAAGAAGGGGAAAATGTGTGAAATCAACAGTAGTGCCACCTACCGATCTGTAATGTAACTACGCACACGTGGGGGACGATATCTAAAAAAATGCGATATTGAAACTTAAATAAACAACATTGTTTAAATAAAATTAAAAGCTTCCTGAAAATAACACATTTTAATACAGCTTATTTCTCCTTCATAATTTCTTAGAATCGTTGCCAAAAAATTAAGTAAAAAAAATATGCTCATAAGATATTACAAATGAGTGAAATAAAGAGTTATCAAAACTTGGTGAGTTATTAAAGAGGAATATAAGTTTTAATTATGGTCAAAGGAAAAGGAGAGGAGGAACACTGAATAGCCGACCCAATCTTGAGTTGTCGACTAGCAATGTTCAACTTCCTGTCATTTTATCCATAAGACGATCGGACCCATCCTTAAAACACGTTAACCTTTGCGATGGACTTTTTGATGACCCGCTTTTGTGTTAAGTAGTGAAGAAAATTACGAAAACCTCCTACGGTTAGCCCGAAAGCAAGTAGACAGTGTCATTGAATTTTGCGTCAGCGCTGCATCGATCAGCCATCGCTGGGATTCGAACCTTTATTGAATACTTTCATGAGTCCGTTTTTGAAAAATATTTTAAAAATTATTTAGAGTATCAAAATACAGTCAAACCCCGTTATAGTGAACATGGTTCATAGTGAACTCCCGGATATAGTGGACGAAATGTTCGCTCCCGTGCCTTGCTATACGCATATAGTATTATTTTTTGTGGATAGAGTGAATCAAAATGAAATTGGATAGTATGATCTTTTTTTCTCTCTTCGACTGATTTTTCTTCTTCATTTTTTGGCCATTTCTACATAACATACATATTTTTAAAACCATCTATAGAGTGGAATGTAGCCATAGGCATTTTTTTTTTCTTGTTTGCTTCTTCTATCTCAGTTTCCCATCCCGCGATAACGGCCATCTCTAAATTTGTTTGTACGCGAGACGAAGGAAGAGTCAGAAAAAATAAAAGTGAACACACTTTTTGTTCTCTAATCATTTTTGTATTTCTTTTTATGGATCATTTATTTAAATGCGCAATCAAAGAGAGCGGAAAAAATGAGTTAAAATTGCTTGCAGTACTGCGGTTATAGTGAACCGGAATTGAAGGTTTATTATGGATGGTGTTTTCTACACTAGGGAGCGCTGCAAGCTCGAGACTGCCTAAATTTCCGGGTTAGTGTTTCAGTTGTATTTTAAAGCCATTTGGCATCATTGTGTTTTGAGATTCTTCCAAACAATGCATTTGATTACTTATTACTCATGTTTACAATGCTAACAATACTTGCGTTTACAATACTAAAAGTGTTAACACTAACGTAAGATGGTGCACAGCTTGCAACACGAACAAACAGTAATAAACAAATGGAAAGAGGCCAAATCAAGACTGCCAAAAAAGCGAGTTATTCAAAATCTAGCAACCATGTTACCTTTTTTAATAATAAATAACAAAATAACTAAAACAAATTTTCATTCCAAACTCCCCAGAATTTCATAAAAACATTAATATCTTATGAAATACGGCAGATTTGAGCTCAGAAATTATCTAGTTTATTTCTTTTGTTGAAAACAAAATTATCCGTTTGAAAATATCGCCTATCAGAATAACATGTAGTAAGCAGCTGCAAGCTTTTTAACCGGAACTAGAGTAGGTCCCAAGCTCGAGATTGTTATTGTTTACATTTCTATTGAAAACACCATCCATACTGACTGTATTAAAAAGAGAAAAGATTTAAAAAGTAACCTCGGAAGTGCTTAGGGGGTGTAAAGAACTCACCTGTGTAGTGGAGTTTTCTTTCCCTCATGAGGGAGTTGAGTGATTTCTGTAGAATCTCTTCGGACGGCGACTGCATTTCCGGAAAATTCTCTTCCAGTTTCACTCTGATTGCATTTGTGTCCGCTTTGCCGTTCAGGTCAGCCACAACCTTGCACAGGGCTTCGGAGAGGGGCGCAAAATGAGTCTGGGGCGCTGCAACCATCTCCAACACACTGATGTCACCTGTCAACAAAAAATACACTTTTCTGTATTCCGTCGCTCTTTTCGTGATATTCCTCGAGGTGCAACTCTCCCCCATAAGGTTTATTTTAACTCAACAAAAAAACTTTAATGTAAACCTAAAATGGTTTTTCGTGCGGTTTACGTGTAAACCTTCAAACCTTAAAACGAGATCTGTGACCATCTGCTTTATTCTAGGCACATTACCCTTATCAAAAACCTAGGACAAGACCTTCTCTATGAAAACCTTACATCGAGGTTGACTTGGGGTTTTCAAGCGTGAAAAAATCCTTTCATAAAGCTAGTCTCTCAAGGTAAAAATCTAGGTCATTATAAGGTTTCTTCTCGCAAAGTCTCGTATGCTTAGCTAAAATCCACCTTGTCTGGAAATTTTAATGGAGATGCAATTGGATCCAATCACTCGTATGAATTCACAGCTAAAACGTCATTATAGACCTAATTTTTAATCCTTTTAGGACGAAAGGTTTAAATCTGCAATATTTTTGCTTTTTTTAAAAAAGGTTTTTAGTATAAATATTTTCGTGACAATAAAAGGGAAGTTCCGACACAAGATTGCCTTTCGGGGACATTAAATCTCCGAAAAGAGTAAAAGGAAGAAAAAAATCAGCATAAACCATTAGAATTTAGAACCGACGCTAATTGCAGAAAAAACTACGGGAAAACTATTTAATAATAAATATCTAAGTAAGAATGAAGACCAAGCTAATTAACATTTTAGTGTAATTTAATAAACATAACTATAAAAGATGAACAACAAAAGTTGATGAATAATAAAAAAGAGTGAAAAGCGCCAAGCGCTTGTATCAAGTGACCGTTTCACATTCAGATTGTTCTTAAAAGTTATTGAGTCTTATTCGTATTCGCTAGGGGGTTTCGTATTTTAGTTTTGAACCAGCGATATATTTAGAAGACATACACACACGCACACACACACACACAGATATATATATATATATATATATATATATATATATACATCTATATTGTATGATACATAGCTAATATTATATTAGATATATTAGCTAATATTTTTGAAACATGTTCTGACATAAGCGTTTGATATCATTTTGTGATATTTCGCTAATATTTCTGAAATAAGTCTTATTTTAATTTTAAAAAATATTTTTTAATGTAACCCAGTTAGCAAAATGATATTATCTAACATTAGAAAGATGCAATATAATACTGCCGTGCTAGAAAACGCTAGACTCCTGAATCCTATCTTCCAATATTAGAGCTAGTATTATAAAACAGTGCGTGTGTGTGAAGAATAGTGTTCAATCTAACATTCGAACTTTTAGAATTATCATCTATTCATTATTTTTGGTCATCTATTCACTTTTTTGTGAAAGGCTATTCCGTATCTATCTATCTATATACATCTACATATATTTATATATATATTTAAAAAAATTGTGAGCAGTTCATTTAGCAGACTGCTTTGTAACATTTTTGTTTTAAAAGGTCCAAACCTCCCCCCCCCCCAAAAAAAAAAGAAAATTAAATTACTTTTCTAATTAAAGAAAATAAAAATTTATACTTCAGCATTTGGCCATAATGTATTAATAGCGGAACTATGTTGTTAACGGAAAATTGTAAATTAACCTATTAATTGTAAATTAACGGGATTAATTAATTTAATTGTAATTGTAAATTAACGGAAAATTGTAATTAATTTTTATTTTTCTATTCTAATGCAAGTTTAATAGTTTTATAACAGAATGATCCAATCAATATTTGCAATTTAAATAAAGCGTTGGAAGGCTGCATTTTATTTCATTCAAATGATTCCTTTGTTGTTGTTTTTTTTAAAACAGTTGATCCCTCTCTCAACCTCAGGTGATACGTGATCGAAATCACCTGCCTGTGCCGATGATTAATTGCGTGAATACAATGGATTAAAAGTTGATGATCACGAAGATCCTTGGCATTCTTAGCGTGGAGGGAAGAAGAAAGAAGAAAAAAAAGACTTTATTTCATTCTGGTTTACTATGTTTTCAAACCCACTTTATAACAAACTTTTATTGACGATGTATCAGTATGTGAAGCATTACGTGAAAGTGAACTAACTGTATTTATAGTAAGCGTGTATAGTCTTACATAAATAGTCTCATTTATTTATTTTTTGTTATTTTTCTATGCGTTTATTTTTTGTAACGTCTTTTTCACAAAGAAATTGTAAAACATTCTTTTAAAATAACAACAAAAAGAAACTGTTTCTAAGAAATAAATTTTTTATTCAAAATTTTTAAGAGCGGGATAGGTGGGAGAAGAATGGTAAGCAAAAATCTTTAAAACGATATTTTTGGCAGAATTAAAAAGTAAAGAAAACGATAAATAAATTAGAACTACTATTTCTATAGAAAATAATAGGAATGATATTTTTTAATCATATCATAACTGTTTTTGAAATTATCTTCGATCTTGAGCTTTATATTTGTTTTTGTCGCTGGCTGGGAAATGATATGGAAAAACTAATAAGCGGGAAGTAATATTACTAAAAAATGAGCTGTCATCAAAGCATTAATTTTTTTTTTCAGAATTTATTTATTTTCAACGGAAAAGCTTGGAATCAAGGAATTAATTTTCAATCAATGAATGGATTATTTACAATCGATGAATTAATTTTCGTATTTCATTCAATACACACTTGGGTGGATCTGATTTAATTTTGCTATTATGTTTATTCTCCCCTTTCTAAACTAAAAAGTGTTTTTTTTTTTTCAGTTATTACTATGATTTTAAATATGTCCTTCATTACGATCTCCTGATTATTGGGAAATTCTAATTTATTTTTGTCTTTTTTATCTTTACAATGGATTTTAATAATTATTTTTCTTTAAATTGAAGGAACTTCACAAGGATATAAATTTTTCATCTCTCTTAGCTAACTTATTTTTACATTATTATGAAAAAAATCATTCTCTTAATATTAAATTTGTTTTTAGATTTATGGATGATTTAATTATCTTTAATTTTCAAGATTATGCAATTTTGCTAAATAATATTCACCCCGAGTTATTAAATTTGGTTCGTATTCATGATTTTTAATTTTTCGGTTTTAGGTATTTAAAAAAGAAGAAAACATATGTTTTGTTGATTTATACGATAATATAAATTATTTAAATTTTGATATAAATAAACTAATTACTTGGAATTCTAATGTTTCTAAAAAAAATTTATTTGAATATAATTTTTAAACAAATTTATAACACACATTAAAAGAATATGTAATGGAATGGAAAGGAATATGTATTAATCCAAATTCCCAAGTAACAAATCCAATTTATCCAAAAAACAAATTCTTTCAAAATTTGATTAAAAAAAACAATGGATACCCAACTAGTTTAATTAAGTTTTTTAAATTTTATTATTACATTAATCTATCATTGAGTTAATGTATGTTATTATTCAATTCCTACTATTAATTCACACTCTTCCTCGTTCGAATTTTCAATCGTTAATTAAATACTTCTTATTCATTCATTCATTCTAGTTCAAATACTTTTTTTTAAACTTGTATGATTCTTGATGTTAATACAGTTTTTTAAAATGTTAATTCATTCATTAAATTTAATTAATTAATTATGGATTAAAATTATAAAAATTTATTTTTTTAATTATTTAATAAAAAGTAACTAAAATAAAATGTTTCTTTGTATTGACTTTGTAGGAATTGTTACTTGTTAATGATAAATTTACTAAAGACTTCTTTGTTAACTAAATTTATGTGTTTTTTACCATGCGTAATTTTTTTTTTTTATAAATGTTAGTTTTCTAACATCATTAAAATTGTATATTTAAATATAAACCTTATTCATTTTATTTTTTTTATATTCTAACTGTCGTTGAACAGCCGACCCAATTTTATGGGTTTACGACGACTCATGTTCAACTCCGTAGCCTTGTCATTTTGAACCTAATCCAGAAGACAAGGGAACTCCTGGATCAAGTATTGGGAGAAATTTGCCTCCGTGGAGGACTTTTTGATGGATCTAACCTGCATTTGCGTTACAAGGAGACCACGAGAACCTCCCACGGTTAGCCTGACGGCAAGGGGACTCTAACCCATGATCCGTCTACCACTGAGGATATTTCACGTCAGCACTGTGGTCTGTGCAAGCTGGATGCGAAATTCGTATCCCAGCCATCGCCGAGCTTCGATCTCGGTTCACCTCATTGGAAGGCGAACGTTCTATACCCTGCGCCACCACGGCATTTTTATCTTTTTCATTTCCATTTTCGGATCCATCCAAGGTAACTAACAAATCAAACGCGCTTCAGTATTGCAATTTATTCAGTACAATTGCTTCAGTATTGTATTATTCAGTAAGGACGCGCCATAAAAGAAACCTCTATTTACGCTTCTATTTTCATATTTTGTAATCTGGCAAATTTGCTACTAAAATATTTCAAATCATTCTTAAATGATTCCATATATATATATATATATATATATATTATACGAATATATATGTATACGAATACTTCATTTGAAATCGCTACTTGCTTTATAGATTACATTTTATATTTTCTGTATTTTCGTTGCATTTTATTTTCTATTTTTTGCTTAATATGTTTTATTTCGTACATTTTTTTGCTTTAATGTGTTCCATTTTCCTTTTGTTTCATTTTTTATGAGTACTCCTCACATTATTGAATTTTGCTTTGGCTATATTAATATATATATATATATATATATAATACACACATGTAAGAAGTAGGACAAGGAATTTATTTCAAATGAAATAAAATTAAGAAGCGAGAAGATATCTTAAAAAACATTTTAATAAAAATTAAAAAAAAATTCTTTTATTAGTATTAACCGGGTTCAAATGACGCGTATCGCAAAATGGTATTGGAATTTTAACAACATATTCTTCTCATTGGATTTACTTGAAATAAATTTGAAGATACGGAGTGAGGCTGTCAAGTCAGTAATAGATGTGATACTGAAGGGTTGTTGTTGTTAATTTACGTCG